AACGGTTAATTGGTACATAAGTGTTGTGAAACACACGGATTCATGATCAAGAAAGCATCCTTCAAAACAAAGAAAGGAGGGTTTACAATGAATATTGTTTGCAGCTTTACTCGTCCACAAATGATATAAGTGAACATGACAAAGATCAGTTTCAATACAGACTGCAGTCCATCACAGAAAAAAAACAAGAAAAGACCTACCCATCGTAAAGAGGGATCTGAACACCAAGATGGGTTAGACAACACTGAGTGTGGACGTATCACGAGACGATGTGGATTGCAGCAATGAATTGAGAGTGATGAGATACTGACGGATCTATATTCATTCAAGAACACAGTCAAAGGTGTCAGCGTACTCCCTACACGTGCATGCCACATGGATACCATTGTAGCACACTACGGTAAATCAGATCGATGACATAGGAATAAATAAAAAACTCGCGAAGTCGCATAAAAAATGTAAAACAACGAAAAGGACTTGTATAACTTTAGATCATCTGTGGTGTTTGAATTAACTAATGATTCTTTTGTACTTGTTGAATGCTCGATTTCGAATTCTAAATACAGTACATTCGTTGTGCCTGTGTCTTCTTAATTCAATTGCGTTAATCCTGGAATTCCTAATTCATACTATAATTAGAATACTATATTGGCGTCGCGATGGAGCCTGCAATGGAAAAGTTAGATATTCATTCAACTTCAGAAGCTTTTGAAGATTACTTTGAAAGGTTCGAAATCTGGGCTATGACCAAGGAAGATGATGAGGATGTTAATATTGTGGCACACTTCCTCACATTCATTGGAAAAGAAGCATACAGCTTATTAAGAACTCTGGCTATGCGGGAAAAACCCATTTCGCTTTCTTATACAGCTCTCAAGGATCTACTGCTAGACTATGCTCAGTATACCAATTTCAAATGTCGTAAAGGAGGAAGATTTCGTAAAATGATTCATGAGGATATAAAAAAGTCCACTACATTACTACGTCATCTCAACCTAGTGCATACTCAAGGTTATGCAGACAATTCATTGAATTTGGATGCAGTTCACGAGGATGGGGACAAGTTTGGTCAGTGTTTGTCCTGTTGCAAGTTCCACTCTTCTAATTCATGTAAATTTCATAATTCTAAATGCTTCAAATGTCGTGATATTGGACAAGTTCGGTCATTTTGTAATGCTAATGTTCATCTTACTGCAACTAATATTAAGTCTTGTAATTCTGATTCTACTGAGTCGAGTATTCATGATGATCATTTATCTTTATCAACGATTTCAAAAGACAGTGCAGAGTCATATGGCAGTTCAGAGTTAAATGAAATCCAGAATTCTTGTGAGACGACATTTCCTAATCAACCGATTTATCAGAATTCTCATGCTATTGTACCAAGTATGACTTTTCCTAATGATTCACATATTTCTAATGAAATTACTTGCAATTCTGAGGAAAATATGTTAAATGAACCTAATCATGATCGAAAACCTGATGTGGTTTGGATAGATGCTGATTTTTCTAACGACCCTACGCTTTGCAATGACAGTCCTGATGAATTTCATGAGAATATTTCAGAAGAATCAAATCCTGATGTCGTATCATATATTACCTATCCTCATAATGTATTTGATCTTCGTGAAAAATCTGCCTAATGCGAAGCACGAGTACTAAGTGACCTCGAGTTTTATTATATTTCGGATGATTTCATATCAACTGCTGTTTACTCTTATCACAAAAACAGTTCTAATGTTTACTCTAAACAATGTGAGATATATGTTTTTAATGAAGCCACATTATTCATAACTTGGGGGTATAAAGATCCAACATTATTTCGTGGGGGGGGATAGTGTTGAAAAGTCTATGGTTCGAATTCTAGATATTAATGATTTCATTACAAAACCGACATGCTGGTTGTATACAATTCCAGGTGAGTCTGTTCCGATTTCGTTTGTTAATTCCAATACTAATGAGCACTTTCTAGATACTACAAAGTTTTTATCTTATACAATGTCGGACAGACTCAGGATGAACTTAACAAGAAGACGTACAACCGATTACAAACACTTATACTTCTATTTAAGCTGTGGCGGATGTGGTGTTTGAATTAACTAATGATTCTTTTATACTTGTTGAATGCTCGATTTCGAATTCTAAATACAGTACATTCGTTGTGTCTGTGTCTTCTTAATTCAATTGCGTTAATCCTGGAATTTCTAATTCATACTATAATTAGAATACTATATCATCATACTGTAGTGAGTGGGTATGATAATTACTGCCTTATATGCAATGACAAGAGACACTTACATTTAGTAAGGACTCAAATCCCAATATTCCCAAAGATATATTTAAGCGAGTGAGTTGACTGTGATATGCATAAGTAATAAATAAAATTGTAGCGGCAAATAAACCCCCAAAATAAATAGTTCTGTAGGTAATCTACATTTGATGCTGACCCCATTATTTTTAAAGGACACATCTAGCTGAGTTCGCTTGGTCACGCATCCACACCAGATCACGAGTGGACATACCGTGCTACACATCTCCTACGGACGTTAGCCAGCTTACATTACCGGCGTTTCGATATATTGGTAGCCTTCCAACTAAATCTTGAAGACCCTTCATTCCTGACTTCCGGTGTGATGGGTGGCATCTTTAGAATCAAAGTAAGATAGAGTTAAATGGACACAAAAGAACTGGAACAATTTGAATAATGAATTGATTGTAGAACCAGACCTGTATGTGAGTGAATTGGATTTATATCAATACTGTCATTTAGAGTCACTAGCATGTGTATTACTATAGATATAGTATTGGCAATAGAACGAAATAATTTTAGGAACTGGTTACACTAGTTCAGTCTGTATTGTATTTAAGTGAGCGCAAACTGTCCGAAGTCTTAGTTGATCAAGGGGTCCGAAATATATGCGAATCAAAATAATAATAAGATATGACTAATATGTAGACGGATAGACTGTGAAACTGAAAAGGTATGTTATAGTGTTCAACATGGAAGATACTTGAATTAATCACTCACTGAGTACAGGTTAACTAGCAATTTGTTTGACGGTCACATCTCCAGCCAGATATTGTGTTCCAAAGTGAGTATACAATTGTGAAGATGCAAATGTTGTGTGTGCTACGGATATCGACAGACATAATTATTACCTATCACCAGTCGAAAGTGAAACACCTGGAGGTAGAAGGTTAAGAAGATCGAAGAAAAGAGAACGGAAAAAAAGAGTGATTGGTGTGGAAATGAAGGAACAATGAAGTCTGAGACGATTGACTGACATTTTGCAAATGAAGTATGAAGTTCCCAGACTTTACTAGGATATTCTGTAATTTTGCATTCAAATACATTCGATTGTCCCCAATTGCGTTCTCGTTCGCTACACAACATGTCTGTATTAGCTGAAGCTATAGAAATGTTAGATAGTAAAACAACCACAACCGAAAATATCTAACACAGCCTTTCTTAAATATAGAACTCAACAGCGAGCCCCAAGCCCTACAAAATCTACCAGAAAAGATAATGAAACACTCAAGATAATAACTGGAAATGGTTAAAAAGGCATAAACTTCAACACATTAGGCGGAACTAGGACCAAATTGGTCCCAGTATGACAGCAGATAGTGGACATTTTGGGCAAGAATCGCGAAGGAAAAATAAGAAAACCGTAGCAAAACAAAAAGAAACCAGATCCAGCTTATTTTTGAGAGCAGACTCTATTAAGAAGTGCTTAGCAAGACATATCGCAATGCTTAAATTTAAGTGTTGGTGGACTTGTGATGCTGTTGACTTCGTAAACTTATAGTAGGTATTGACTCAGGTTTTCAATAAATAATATTAATGACTTAATTCATCTTCTAGTTATTATTCGTGTTTGGTGTCTCTTTCTATGTTTCGTACGTAACCACCACAGTGGTCGTTTAGTGGCCTATGGATATGACTCCAAGAAGATCGTAATGAATGTTTGTTATCACCTATCCTCGTATACAATCATCGACTTAAATCGCGTTAGTCAATAACAGAATTAAATAAGTCAAATAACGAGAATAGACTTTCGAATACATATATTTTGTATATGAAGCGAATGGAATAGAGGAGAGAAAGGATGCGGAGTGGAGATGGTAGGTAAGCAAATTCCATTTTTTAGCCAGGCGTTACTCAATATTTATAGGCAGACAAAATAAACTACAGACATGTGATGAGACATGGGATATGAAGCGTGCACACATATACGCTCATATAAAAACAGTCAAGACTGATAAGCGAATAATTAACAAGGTCAAAATATGGCTCAAGTAGAATGAATAGATTGGGCTGTCCGAAAGTTAGAATAGAGTATATGGGCTTAACATAATAACTGACACTACAGTTGCTTACATAAGGACGTGTATAACATTAAATGAGTAATAACTCTGGAATTATTTCCAGTGATACAAATCTCTCGTAGAAATCAAGTAGCGTTTGCACCACGACATGAAAGTTGCTGTCAGCATGGACAAAGACGTACACGTCCTAACAATCCATCCATGCTCAAAGCAGTGAGAAAAAAGCTTGTATTATTTTCCATACAGAGCCAGAAAGCTGCCAAATGAGGTTGCAACCCAATTAAAAGGGGATTTTTCGCCATGAACCTTCCAACACGTCACTGCTGTAATTTAGTGGCCGATAAAAATTGTACAGTAATTAATGACCACAAACCGTTCAGCTTTTTTTAAACAGTCGAGCCATAAGTACTTCCCACCTGGCCTGAGAAAACTGGCTTATCTCTATCAGTTCACTTCCTAGACTTAACTTGGTCAATATTGTTAGAGATGCTCTGGTTACAGTAAGTTCCTTGTATCGTTTCTCTTATTCATATATGGATATTATTTTAGTCCTGATCGTGGTCAATCAAGAGAACTTGACTTTACCAATCCTAAGTTTTAAGGGATCATATGTTTCGTACATTCCACTGTGTAAGTTATTTTCCTTTACATTGAAAATAATAACAAGTTGTATTTTCAGGTGATTAGTGCTTTGGGTTGTATTACATCAGGAGACTAGTCAAGGGCGAGTTCATGCTCAAGCCGCTGATTTTAAGTGCGCAGCGGATAAACCTTCTTCACTCTTCCTCAAAGTTTACAACGTTTCGTCACTCATTTGTTATGACCAGTCCTGAAGATCTCAGTAGTTCAGTATGTAGTTTCTTTATGGTCAACATATTCTCCATAGGAAATACAAGCTTTCATCACCAAAGTTAAAAGTTTACCCGGTGGAACTAACATTCAGCAAGATGAAGCTGAAAAAGCGGCTCATTTGTACCTCAGAGCTCGCAAGAGAGATGTAGAGCGTGCTGTGGAATTGTATAAAGCTAACAAGGTATGCAGGTGTTTTGAAATCATGAATTATTGTGACCCCCACATTGAAGTATAATATTGCTGCTAATTTTATAATAAACTTGATATAAAGTGTGAAAGTATGGCGCTAGTCCTCTTTTTATTTGCCTGCCTATTGCAGATTGCTTCTGCGTCAAATGAACTTGCACTTCGCCTGATCCCTTGCATGATATTCAGCTAGAACTGCCTAGTTTATTTACCTAAGTATCTAATGCTCAATTTAATCGGAATACTATTGTCTAAAACTTGCTTCTCTCAATTATTAAAGGTAGAAAGGACTGAACAAATGTGCTGGAAATACTGATAACCGGATGGTATGAAGCGATATCGAAAATAGGGAAAGGCTTACGACAGCTAGTTCGTTCACTAACTATTAGTCAGTCAGCTACAATGTAGGACCACTAGTAGATTACTTATAACCTTTTGATGTTGAACTTAAGTAAATCATTACCGTGACGCTTAAGAAATGAAGGTTCCTACGGCAGTAAAACAGTTTATATGTAACAATGTAGCACAATAACACGATACCTATTAGTCTATTTATCCATTTCATGATTACTAAATACAATAAAGAAACAAGAAAATCTATTTAACAATGTATCAGGAGTCTTATCCTTAATTTATGAGTACCCCTCAGTTTAAAATGTTACTTAACGATCCAGAATTTTTCTAGCTAATAAACTTCAAACAACTACTTGTTGTATGTGAGTTAGTGGTACCATTCTGCTGCTAACACGAAAGTAGGTGATGCAGAGTTTGAAGTTGCAATCAAAACCCCCTTATAATGTTCAAATTTATTCGGTTTAGTTGACTTATTCTTGTTGCTAAAGTTGGGTAAATTCTGTACACTTTAGAGAAATCCCTTTGTTTTCGGTAAATATTTAGATGGGTCTTTTTTTGGCAGTCTACAACTAGTCAATATTTTGAACCATTCTTGAGTAAACATTAGGGATTAATTTAACTGGTATTAATTTGTAGTCCCTTGTATTCCTACAACCTTATTGTCATAATAACCAATTCCATTATTCGAGGTAGCGAAAGGGGCGTAGTGAAATTGTGGGTCAGTGAAACTTATCTCTTAATTTTTTTATTCTCAAATTTAGCACAGCGTTTTAAAAAATTTTCCCCAGTTCTTCTACATAACGGATTATTTAATATCGCCTTCTAATAACTTCGTCTATTTGCTGCGATTATACCAATCTCGAAGTCGTTAGCAAAAAAGACTAATAAATTGGTAAAAATACCCAACTTACCATTTTCTAGTCCACAATTTTAACCCAACACAATCCGATGTTAGACGTTTTTACTGTTCAGGTTGAGTTGCCGTATTTGAACTAATTAGTATTGAAACTTGATCTTCAGGGTTGTGCCAAGAATTTTCATAGTCTTTACATCAAAATATGAACCTAAGTTTGTTGGTCAAATTTATCTGATATAATCAGTTCAGTTTCGAACTATATCATTTCTTCATTTAAAATTTACATGACAAATTTACGATACAATACTTCAGTAAATTAAAAGGGATGTCAATCAAACCAGGCAAATCCAACAATATATTATAATGGGACCCACTTTCCAAGTACAAGTCTATGTACTCAGTTTTAAACCATAGTGTAATGACCAGTAATACGATCCACGGCCATGCAAACATATGACTAGCTGAATAAATAACAAGTATTTTAACCCAGAAACTAAGATAGAAATAAAACTATAGTGTTTACAAACCGGTTAACTAAATGTTAGTCAATGATGAACAATAGAATTCGATCTATAGTAAGTAATGGGCAATCATCACATTGGTTGCAACTTAGTGACCAATCACCATAACTAATTGGGCGAAAAAGTCTTTGAGAAAAACCCTGATCGGTTCAAACCTCAAATATCATGTCTTACATATGTATTATTGGGTAAAATTGTGTAAGCTCAATGCTTGATTGATGTGTATGACCACTACATTCGATTTTTCTTATTTAACACATGACGGTTAGTTGAAAAAAGTAAGCTCTTGGCAACTGGAATGCAAGTATTTGAATGTGATTTAAAAGTTGCATTCGAAATTGTGCAAGAGGTGATTTTCTGTAGTATAACTTCAGTAATTTTAAACATATTACTAGTGACTACATGTATCATTAATTAGAACTTATAAGACGTCATCAGTCAGTCAGCCACAACATAGGACCAGGCACATATATGCATCGGTCCAAGTTGCCACATCTCATTAGCACAACAAGATGAACACCAAATTCATAGCAGTCACTTCAGTGATAGTAATGTATAAAAGGAAGACTGTGTATAAGGATATAATACAGGAATGAAGAATTAGTTCGTAGAAAGAAAGATATGAAGCGATTTTAATGTCATAGTTTAAGGGAAGACAGAGTGTATACACCTACACCATTGTGATCGATTCTGAGTCATGTCACCAGGAGTCTCTAACCATTGGTTGCGATAGTCACGCGGACACCAACCAAGTAATCTGCATCTAATAACATGGCTCAGACTAGAAGTTAGTGACTTCAAGGACTGATACCACGTTTTAGTTTGGCCGCCCCTAACTTTCTTCCAACCATTCCTAACACTAGTCAGCATTGCGCGTCGTGGTGATCGGTGTTCAGGCATACGCAACATGTGGCCCAACCATCTCAGTCGATGAAGATTTACAACCTCATCAGTTGATTTACCATCATTCCCTAATACCCTGCGTCTAACCTCACTTTTACTTACCCAGTGATCCCAGAAGATGCGAGCAGTAGTTCTAAGGGATCTGTGGTCAAATACTAGTAGCTTGCGAGTATCTTCTACTCTTAATGGCCACGTTTTGCAGCCGTAAAGTAAAAGAGAACGAACTGCTGCGCAGTGTACCAGTCCGTTAACTGATATATGGACATCTCGCCTTCTCCATAGATGACGCAAGTTGGCAAAAGCCGAACGAGCTTTTTGAATCCGTGCTGTGATTTTTTCAGACACCAACCCATTAGTGCTGATCAGACTTCCAAGATAAGTGAAGTTGTCAACGCGTTCGACTACTTCACTCCCTATCCTTAGTTCAGGTGTTGACGCAGGCCAGTCCTGGAGCAACAACTTGCATTTAAAGAGGGAGAAGAGCATTCCAAACATTCTGGCATTGTTGCCCAGTGCTACCAAAATACTACATTTTATCAGCGTGTTCACCAAACAGGACCATATCATCTGCGTATTCTAAGTCGATAAGTGGACCTCCTGGATGGAGATCAATACCCTAGAATTCAGTCGACGAGAATGTTATTTTCATTAGTAGGTCTATGATGAAGTTAAACAGAAATGGGGAAAGTGGACAGCCTTAACGGACACCACTTGAGGTTGCAAAAGTAGATGACAGTTCGCCATAAGCTCTGACTCGACTAGTAGTGTTCGAGTAAAGAGCCTTTACAAGGTTTATGTACTTCTGGGTTACGCCTTTCAATGACAGACACTGCCACAGAATCTCGCGGTCTACCGAGTCAAATGCTGCTTTTAAGTCGAGAAAGACCACCATTGTCGGACGCCGATAAGTATGTCTGTGTTCTAGAATCTGACAAATGGTGAATATGTGGTCGATGCAACCACGACCAGGTATGAAGCCAGCTTGGTTCTCTCGTGTTTGCAGTTCACGAGTCTTAGTTAGGCGTCTGATAATTATCGAAGCTAGTATTTTAGATATTATGTTAGTTAAACTAATCCCTCTGTGGTTGTCACAGGATGATTTTGACCCTTTCTTATATATTGGGACGATAAGTGATTGTGACCGGTCAGATAGAATAACGTCTAACTCCCAGATCTTAGCTAAAATATTAGTCAACCTAATCGCTAAAATTGAACCACCATCCTTAAAGACTTCTGGAGCCAATCCATCTGGACCAGTTGTTTCAGATTAGCTATAGCTTTTTGAACTTCAACTAGAGCTGGGGGACCTACTTCAATGTTCCATTCAGGCTACTTGGGAATAGTGGGTAGTTGTAGAGTAGCTGAAGATCCGCTGAACTCTTTAAAGTGTTCCGCCCATCGTTCTAAACGTCGGGGCTGAGAGCAGATAAGTATAATCTTTTTCCGAGGTCGTCTCACACGTGACTTCTTAATTCCAGTTTCTTTTATTAGTCTGAAAAGCTGTCTGGTGTTACTTACAACCTTTTGCTTTCGTTGCCCACCTCTGCTCACGGTCGTTCCTTAGACTTTTGGTTAACCTAGATCTGATTTGTTTACTCTCTTTGTCGTGTTCATAGCTAGATGGGATGAGTTTACGAGAATCTGTCAGTGCAATAGACTCAGTAGAAATCCATTGGTTTTTCGTAACCCTTTGGTTTAAATCACTCACAGATGTCGCTGCTGCTTCCACGGCTGTCCGTATATCTTTCCAAGAAACATCTGGATCAGCCTTGTTTTCGGGACTACATAAGTGTGACTTCAGTCGTTCCTGGAATCTACTTTTGTCTTTCTCGTCACTGAGTCCAACTCTCTATATAAGACTTCATACCAAAGATCTGTTGTCTCGCACGAGAATCATTCAACTTCCGAACAACAAAATGACTTCGGACAGTCCTTCTAGATCGATTTTTGTGAGGAAACTGTCAGACATTTGAAAAGCATAGGTCTTAAACCCTCTGTTAATAACGGGACATATTGTACCGAATACATCAAAAACACTAACATTCATCCGATAATGCCAAATGTCTACTCGAAGTGTGTAAATAAATTGATTCCCTGTACAAAAGTTGTAGAAAAATGGTATGAAAGAAGGGGAGAAAGGTTCAAAATAGTTAAATATATGCAGCTATACTGGCTGGTTGTGGTTTGGAAGTAGGTTAGGAGCTGCCTAAACAAAACGTGGCATTAGTCCATGAAGTCATTAACTGTTGGTCTAAGACATTCTTAACAATTTCATTCCGCTGTATTTATGTGCTCTCTCAATCAATTCGAATCAGTGCTCACATGTTCCAGGTTCTACGTTGCTTGTGACTGACTCAAATGTTTTTCAGTCTTGTCCACTACATGAGCACTGTCGACAGAATGTGTAAAAGATAGAGCTATACTCAGTCATGAATATAATCGTTCTACTTAATAATTTATACGTCCACTATATATTGCTAAACTGACTTACTGGTTAAAACATTCATCTTTAAACCACTAAGTCACAAGTTTGAAGTCCACTCCATCTAGTTTTTATGAGAAGTGAGGAACAGTATCACAGTCCTTCATACAAGTAGTATTGTTTAATATCCTGATTACAATAAAACTACACCTAATATATGAGTTTGATTATTCCTCAAGATCTTAAGCGTTAATGGTATGATCAGTATTCTTTCATATAATAAGTAATATATACTCAATGCATTTGTATTGTTTGTCTATAAGTAAATAAAATGTAAACCTACTCGTTGTTTATGTTTCTCAATTGATTTTCTATTTTTAGCGAATGCGCTATACTGAAAATGTAGATTCAATCGATCCTTTAGAAGATGGAGTTCGACGTGAGCTTCTATCTGGTAAATTTACTGTATTAGTAAGTTTAATCGGTAATGAGTTGCGACTTTCGTTTTTTGTTTAATTAAAACTTTTTATTAATTAATTAATTATTATTTCACAGAATTAATAAGTAGTCTGTTCCTCCTAGTAGTAGAGTAGTAGTAAGGTTGACTTGTTGTTTTTCGTTCTGTAAAATAAATAGTCGTAGATTTTCATCAGTTCCTTATTCGTCTGTTATTGTATGTTTGAAGTTTAACTGATATCAGTATAAACATAGTACTGTACTATGGGTATGTATTTTAGCAATTTGTCCACGTCTATCAATCAAACTCAACATAGAACCTGGTGCTTGTGTACATCGTTCCAAGTTGCCATACTCCATTGGCGCATCGAAATGAAACTGTTAGGGCCAATACCAGAGTGGTAGAGATAGTAACACTATGAGTGGTGGTTGGAAAGATTATCCATAGAAGTTATACAATTCCAGAAGTGCATGTGAATTAGTGAAATAAAAATTATATGAAATTGAGGAACCTAGAATCTGATGTAAGTCATTTGTCCAACTTTACTTCACATAATTCAGTCTAATCAAATCAAATCAATATTTTTAACCATCACATAATAAGTGTATCGTATTGTATAGTTCATGAGTCTGTTTCATTATTTGATAAACTAATTAAAAAACCCTAAACTTCACAAAGTCTGGTTAATCACTATTTTCTTCACTCTTGTTCCCATAGCTCTTTAGTCATTACTCACAGATGTCGGGACTTGGGGCATATGATATTGAAATCACGATGTAAGTAATCCTGAGATTAAGCACAGGGTACTGAGCAAAAGTACTAGATCCATTGACTAATCTATAAACCATCAACTAAAGTGGTCGGGACACGTTTAACATATGTTTTGTACAACACCACCCACTCTGATGCTCTGTGCCTACTGGTATATAAGCAGGGTAGTAAACAAATTAGAATTGAGCAGATCTAATAAAATACATCACTTCATAATGATTACTGGTCAGAGCCTTCTTGGTAGGTGAAAAATTCCATGTTGGAATTGGCACAAAAACTTATTTTTGGTTGGAGATACTGGGTATTGCATTGCATAATCGATTAAGACGGTACAGTTGCGTTAATTTCTTCTCTCTAAATCTTATACTTCGTATCATTTCACCCCACACCTTCATATGTTTCTTTAAAATATATTTTTCCAAGAATAGCTTTTTATTTGCATTCGATATTTTCTCTCTCATGCCTCTCTTGTTTCCAGTTTTCTCTGTTTTCGTGTTGACATAAGCTGTGAAAACGTAAACTAACACACAGATTATGTGTTGATCAGGACTATCTAACAACTGAATGGATAATCAAGTCGTTGAATTAAGTTAATTTTATAAAACGATAGATGTGGCAAATTTCATATTTTGTAAATGCCAGTAGTTAAATCTAGGTTCTTAAGATCATGTTCTCCACCCTATCACAAACCGTCGTCAGGTTTTTTTGCTTTCTATGGGACATTTAAAGAATAACCATTCAGACACCCTGTCTTCCTCAATAATAATGGGTTCTAACCACATTTCAGTTGATTAATGTTCAACAAACTCTTTATTAGACTTTCAGCTTAACCATCATGGCAAAAAAGTTTTATCTTGATTTTTTGTATTTATGTATGTATTTTAGTGGTTAACATCTGTTAGCTTGCTTAAAAGTTATTAGCTCCAATTAACTTCTGAGAAAAAGTTTACTGATACTATATTGAGAAAAGCAGCAATGTTTGTAACAATTTTTTTTACTGACATTAAATAACAGGAGTTAAAAAGAAAAGAAATGAAGTTAATAAGTTCAACTAGGTTTGTATTCGTTTTAATGATAAAATGATCATTTATGTTTTATCTAATTAGTATGTACAACACAAAAACTAAGTCCTATATAGTGTGCCAAAATACAAAAATCCTGGCATATACAATTAGTTACCTTAATTAAACATATCTTTAGTTCGTTCTTAAAACTATTTAAGTCTGTTTTCAGTAAAACCATGAACAGATCTAAGTCAGACCACCATTGAAGACCTAGAAGCACTGCACGACCATTTCGCTCTAGCATAGGATTCCTTAGATGTGCGCAACCACGACCTCGCGTGCGAGTGCTTGACTTCTAAACCACAGGATTCAACGATGTTGATACCAAACTTCAGTTAATCCACGATATTGCGCGACCGTCTTCCATTATCCTCGTTGGGTAACCTCACACCCGACACGGATTTGTTCCACTAGTCACGGCTTTCATTAGAACTCCGGAAATTTCCTTTTAAAGCTAGTCACTAGTAAGGGCATGATAATCATCAGTAAGGGGTTGTGGAAACTGTTAAATTTGACCGAAATCAACGTTAGACTATCATTAAGAACCTGGAAGCAGTGTACGACCGTTTTGTCCTTGCACGGAACTTTGCAGTGCGCATCCACGATCTTGCACATGAGACTCGAACGCATTTTTTGAATAATCAATATTGTTTCACGATCATCAGCTTCTTTTTCTATGTATTTTCATTTGTCTACCTTTAAAGTAAAGGTATCAATTTGATCTTATTTAAAAATGACTTGTAGCGTTTAAAGTGAGTTTCATAGTTCACTAGTATTTGAATACATATATCTTCAGTGAAGTCATGAGAACAACTGAGCAAACAATGCCAAAATTTAAACATTCAATATTTCTGTATTAAATGCTATAAATCATAGACAATGAAGTTTATGAATATTCATTAATGCAATGTGATAGCTTTGTAATATTTTCATCGAGTTCCACGTTAATTTTTGCGTGGTGACTGACCTTTAGTTATAACCTACATCATCTTGTAACATATTAAGTAGTTTCTAATCAAACCTTTTCTCTAATTGGTTTAATTGATATATGGTTTTTTTACTGGCTTGATAATTTTTGCATATTTGTATATGCTTGGTTTGTTGAATATTTTACTGATAGATAATAATAATAATAATAATAATAATAATAATAATACCAATCGACCATCTCTTTAGTAATGATTCTTTGTATTAATTAGACCATCATAAAACAGATTCACCTGACTAAGGTTTGAAATTCTTCGACTATATATATATGACGTATAGTTCTAGTGTTGTTTAACATTTACACCCATTTCTCTCATTCGACTTTTTTTAATACTTTTCTCGAATTTTGTTGCTTGCCTAAATGCAGTAATCGTATCGACTTTTTAACTGTAAAATACTGTTAAACATTTTACGAAACAATATAGTTACTAGAGATGCTTCAATATTTTTTCACTATGGTATACACACTTTTTATGTCTTAGGGGCTAATAAAAAAAGTATAGTTCATTTGAAACTTGTTTTCATATATGAACTAGGAAAATGTACCTATTTTTCTGTAGTCATGTATGTGTATGTATCTTTAAAATTGAACGGATGTTCAGAAATCGTCTAAAAATGCTTATTGATGTTGCTTATTGCATGATCATGGAACATTTAACTTTTTTTGGAATTATTCAGCATAAGATGTTTCTAAATTAATTTAGATTTAAGTTTAACACTTGTAATATATGTGATTTCTCTAAAGTGAATAATATTAGAACTTATCAGATGAATTGTCTTCATATACATTTGTACAACTGTTGTCATAAAATACCGTTGACAATTATCTCAACTCTTGTAACTGAGTGACTTCATGTATCATCTATCCCTCAACAGACTTTCCTTTTTTAAAAAATTTGATTTTAAACAAAGTCCTTAACAGTTAGTGAGTTTTTATTCTAGTTGATGAAGTTGCAAACTAGTTGTTGCATAACAGTAAGAATTCAAATCTTAAAATGAATAAACCGGACTTTTTTTTCTCGTTGGGTAGAGACAGACAACATTCATATGGTCATTTTTATCATTATTAATATACCTTTTATTTCCAGCCCACTCTTCCTGATGATGAAATGGATGCAACTGTTGCCATATTTACAGCTTATCGTCATTGGCCTCCTTTAACTACACATAGAGATACTTTAAAAGGTGTTCTATATCAGTTAGATGCAGTAATGATGGAGTAAGTAATTCTTTCTTTGTGCATTTTAATAGAGAATATATCCGAATAAACTATTTATTTGAATAAGATAATAATAATAACACATTAACATGTGTTCATTTCCCTGTTGTCGATGTTAATGGCCGCAAATAACTATTTCCTATTTCTCTTTTAATAGAGATTGAACATTTTCAGTCTTATCAACAAAAAAACAAACAAACAAATTTATCATATTCTAATATTATAATTTTGGACTTTTTCCATTTGACCCATTCTCCCCGTTACCATAGTACCATAGTATTTTTTCTATTATACTTTTACACCTGTTGAAATTTATCATTAATATTGTTTTCATTTTCTTATAATCACATGAATTTTAATGTTAAAATAATAATTCAATTAGGGTAAACGTCGTCTTCTTGTCGTCATGACTTATTAATTTGAAGAATAAATGAGAATATTATGTATGGAATTAAGTGTTAACTTATACAGTAATTCTATTCATGGAAATATATCACTGTCCAAGAAATTCATAATAATAATATAAGTATACTTTTAAAAAATCTTATAAATTAAAACAAAACAGTTATGGATTACTATTGTATTTTTTGGCTAGTCTTTCGTCTAACTGATGAATGCAATCATTGTGTTGACTTTCGTTACAAACTATGGGAGTATTCTGTTTTTTCTTCTGTCTCTTTTTTAAAATGGTATATCATACAGAACAGAAATACATCTAGTTTGATTTTTATTTAGGTGGAGTTTTCTCTAAGTTGGATGGTTTGATCGTGGAGCCTTCGTTGTTCTTCTGAACGACATCATCAGCACAAACTTCAGGTAGAAGTGAAGTGTTCGGATTTCTCCACATAAGACTCACAGCTTGTCCAGTCGACCTCAATTTTGATTGATTATTGTTGACCTTTAATTTCCTTATTTTGATTGTATCCACAGTTGTCCATATGCATTGATATAAGCGAGGATATGTCATCGTGTTTGACTGCTAATTGATGTTCGCGCAGGTGAGGATGGAGGGGTCGTCCACTTTGTCCGTTGTAGTGTTTTTCGCAGTTGGAACAATTTACCTTTGTAGATGATATTCGGCATTTCTTTTCATTCCGTCCATCGGTATGCATACGATTGATTGAAGTGGTTTTGCTGGTTTGTGTGCTACACCTATCCTAAACGGCTTCAATAATCTCGTTGTAATTCCTGAAATCTTCTATATATGGCAGGATGATCCGTTTGTTGGTTTCTGTACTTGGTTTTATTTCTACTGATGCCTTGAGTTGATATTTTTTGATAATTGTTGATTGCGTAGCCGCTCCTTTAAAAGACAGTCTCTAGATATTTTTCTTCATTTTTCCACGCTCCAGGCGTGTTACAATGTTTCCTCGGCCTCTTGAATAAAGTTTGTACGCAGTTGATTTTGTGAGTTCTTGCGTTGTTGCTACTGTAATTGCTTTATAAAATACTGATAATTTATTTAAAAAAATATCTTTTGTACAAACATAAAAGTGGATGTGACACGATACTCAAGCTGAATTAAAAAAAAAGAAACGCTTACTGCTGATGCGGACTGTATATAAAAGTATTTGATGTGATTCAATGCACAGTCAAGGATGTTTATGTAGCTAAAAGGTATTCTCCCACTTTAAATTCTAGCTCTGAATCTCACCCCCTAGCTTTTATAAGTTTATAAACAAAACTGTAACTAAGCATCATTGCATCATAGTTGATGGCAGTTCGTGATGAAAACCCCAACTTTTATAACCAAAAATGAATAATGACTAGCAGTTAAATCCAGGATGCGCGTTTCGTCCTACTTGAGAGTCGTCGGCTGAATGTACTTGCATCTCAGAGTTGATGTTCACTATGGGACTCGAATCCAGTACCTTTATTTTTTAACTTTAGTTCGCCTAATATACCCTAATTTAACCCTTCTTTGTTTACTATAATCAATGATGCAACATGTGATCACATCAAAGCTATTCATTCACTGTTATGCTATTGCTTTTTGTTGTTAATTCTTCTTTTTAACTAAATATTTTGTTTCTGGTTGGCTAATTAAGTAGTTCCAGATCATCAGTATACTATACTCTTATCATAATTAATTGAAGGAAACCAATACAATCTGTTTTGACTATCGATGTTTTATGGAGATTATTAGATTTCATAGGTAATATCATACATAGACTTCAGTTAGACAACCATTGAAAACTATGAAGCACTGGTCAGCTGTTTCCTTATAGTAATGGAGATACCATAGCAATGCACATCCACGACTCCGCCAGAAGTTGAACCCAGGATTTTCAGATCTCGTGGTAAGCGCTAAACTTTCAGACCACTAAACAAGAATCCAATAGTTTAGATTTCAAACTTTAATCACAATTCACTCACTGTCACAGCGAAGCCCCATACTAGGATGAAATAGCTATCCAGTGTTTCCTACTTTTCAATAGTGTTCTCACTATAATCAGTCTATGATGTAAACTATGAAAATCTAGTTTAAAGGATAAAAATTTAATGAATGAATCAAATACAGTATTATAACATCAATATTTAAAATTCCAATGGTTTACAAACTTCAATGATTATAACTTGTTCAGGTCATTGGTTTGAATTTAGGACCATGTAAAATTTTAGTTTAGACATATGATTAATGACATCACTACTATTGATACGTCTGTATCATTAATAATTTCTGAGGTTGTGTTAAGCTTTCGTATCATAACCCTTTCGGTGAAAGTATAATATACTTACACTCTTGAGTTAACTAATCAGAACCAAAATGACGCCTCGTGTTTTGTTCGAAGCTAAAATGTTCAATGATAGATAATATGTATGTTTTTATTAACCAGGTGAAAATGGGCAATATTTGATTCTTAAAATCAATGAATATATATATTATGCAAGGGAATTTTGTATGGTGTTTAAACTGAATTTTGAAACACCTACTCCTAAGGCAGATCGTTTGTTAAAGTACCAGATATTGTTCACTGCGTAATCGAAAGTGGTTAATAAAGCTAGATAATGTTCCCCGTTTCTCACTCTAAATATCATCCTTAAGTTTCTCAAGTTTGTAAACAGAAGGTTGATAAAGCGTTGTATTGTAGCTGTTTTTAGTTCGTGTTAAAAACCCTGACCGTAGTTTGTAAACTCAAATACCTAACCTTGACCTTTTTGCATTATGACTGATATCAGTTAGTGACGAAAACCTATGAGGTGATGACGCTACTCACAACAATGACCCAATCCCTAATACGTATCCATGTATGTAAACCTACTCCCTTTTTCTTAACTACAAGGAATAATTTGAATTTTGACGGTTAATTATTGCGATGAAAGCTGTTATTTCATTATTTGTTAATTGTTTTAGAACTGGGAAACGTTTCCTAATTGGCTGATGATAATTCACCGAATTTCTACGTCTTTACTTTATAGCTTTAAAAATCGTATCTATTCTGGACATTAAAATATTGGTAGGCCATCAAAACTTCTTAGATAGGATCTACATAATGCAACTATACAAATTTACTGAATCATTAGTTCTAAACTGATTGTGACTCTTCCATGTTCTGACGTGTTCTTAATCACATGCCGATATAGATGATTGAATAAATACACTATCTGTATTTATTAAATAGTTTGACAATATCGTTAAGGTCTATGTATAATTTAATGAAAGGAACATGTTTTGACAAAATGATTATCGTATTTTGACAATTAATCTAATTAAAACTTTCAATCACTTATAATTTGTACATGCATTGCATAGATTATCAGATAAATCTCTTGTATTCTTAATGAAAATGTTATTTGATTCACTTGATAAAAACCGCTTAGTTTGTTTTTCATCAAGTATCACTGTTTTCATGTGATGAATACATTGATATATATGTGTGTAAACATTTATGGAAAAAAACACATATGATCGTAAAACTGTATGTATCGTTATTTTGTATACACACCTTACCTATATAGTGGTATGGATACTTGTTATATCCTGCAGAGAATATAATTGGTTATTTCTCCATGTACAAATGAATAAGAACGGATACGAGTCGATGTAAAGGAAGAAGGCAAGACCACAGATGGAAATTTTATTATACACCTACCACGAATTCAAAAACTATTTTAATACAACAATTTATATCAGATTTATCTATCTGATCACTTGGCAAATATAAATATATTTAACTAGGTAGAGGTTGATATAAATTAATCAGTGACTAAATCCATGCACACATTTTACAATTTCAACAGACTTGATTGGATTAATTAACAATACAATGAATTACTGAGTTACATATTTTCTGCTAGTAGTATTAGTATTTTTGTAAAAACGGTTACATATTCGAGTTTCCGGTTGCCCCACGATAAAGTGTATTTACGAAAAATTGAGTATCTGCTTATACAATGCAGAGAATGGGAAACCGAATAGAGTGAACGTCTACCACACAACAACACATCGACATTACTAATCCAGGCACCAACATGAGGTAAAGAAGAGATTTTCAGAATTTCTTTATCATTTGAACGGAAGTCAACAATTGAAATTAAATAACTTTGTTTATACAGTAACGTGCGACAACTTGGGAACACATAACGTAGCTAACTAAGAACAACAACTAATCTGACAACAGCAAGGGCTTCTGCGGAAATATAAATAGGAAAAGTGTTTGATTGAAGTTATTCTCTAGAGAAAAAACAACGAGACCATAACAGGTTGGCGAGCTAATCAGAATCGATTTTGGGATTTGAAAATCACGACCCATATTCGAATTCATAACGAACACCTACAATCGGTTTACTGGACATTTCAAAGATGTTTTGATTTAGCATGTGCAACAAATGGGATTGTTGAGAAGCTCCATTATTTGTAATTGTGGAGTCGAAATGACTCCTTCAACCATGCGTAGAGCATTGCCATAACGTAGCATTTCGGTTCAAATGTGTTGAGGAAGGAAATCATTAAAAATGAGGACATTTCCTCGTTCTCGATGCATGTCATATGTATTTTCATAGACTGGATAGTGAAAGGATCAGTGACTTTGGCTACTATTCTTGCTAATTTTACTGCAGCTTCGACAGTCCAGTGATACGGGTATTACAAGGAAATATGTGTTATCAGCATGAAAAACTTAAATTACTCGTTTAAAGTTGTAGAATGTATGGTAGAAATCGACGAAACGTTTACTAGGAAACGTTGAATTTTAACTTTTCACTTCCGTTTGGAATATAAAGCTATTCTGGAAATCTCTTCTTTATTTATTTTTATTTAACTTAACACATAGATATTGGTACAATGAGGCACCAGATAGAAATGAGACACATAAATCATTCGACTTGTGTGAGAGCTGGAATACTGCCCGGATGCCCAGAACGAAGCAGGTGGTTTTCTTAGGGGACCACACTCACCGCCTCCGCCCTGAAGATCTGATCCATAAGGCAGCGAAGAAACGTAAGGAGATGCAGTCCCATGGTAGCCGGTGACCAACAATTGGTTCATACACCATTTGTTCCTTCAGGGTCTTGGAGCCCATGTGCACCATTGGTTTGGAATCAGGGTTTTCCAACTCCCCTAGGTGGACTCTCCATGTTCACCAACCCGGTTAGAGCGCTGGAAATTCTCTTTTCGTCCTCTCAATTTGGTAAACAACATCCCCGCCACGAGAAGGCAATGAGTAGGAGTTCCCTGGCAGAGGCTATATACGCGTGGCCATGTGAAAGCATTTCGAGAGGGAGGGCTGACTCTCCCCACTCTCGGCCGTACGAGGGCATTGGGGGGCCTCTTCTTCTTTACCTCATGCTAGTGCCTGGATTATTAACGTCGATGTGTTGTTGTGTGGTAGACGTTCACTCTATTCGGTTTCCCATTCTCTGCATTGTATAACCAGATTCTCAATTTTTCGTAAATACACTTTACCGTAGGACAACCGGAAACCCGAATATGTAACCGTTTTTGCAAAAATACTAATACTGCTAATAATAATTATTATTAACTGTAGTTTGGAACCGAGTACAGAAGTTTATACTTAATAAATGAAAGATAAATAATGTACTAGTGTTGGTGTGGGTCACCGGGTTATTCTACATATAGGAAAACCATAGTGACTCATATCAATATGGGTCATCTTTAGCTCTATACTGTTGTTGGTATGATTTTAATGTATCGGGCATACAAAGCGTCCATGAAAGTAGTTCTGATTCATGTCTGTAAAACCTGGGCCTTCTGAACCACTGATCTTCAGCGACTTCGTGTTTGATTACCGCCATGCGAACGATTCCTCACATTTGACACCAACACCATGTATTTAATCTTGAAGTTCTGAATCTAAGAGAAAAGCAACCAGGTGGTTAGTCTTCTGCGTGATTCCGTGATATGAAAGATACCTGTATAGGACTAACATCTATCGGTTACGATTCTTTGGTTAGAGTCCTAAAGCACATACAATTCAGCCTATTACTGTCCTATGATTTCTGAAATTAACTTGTTGTCTAAGTAATATAACATTTTTTGCAAACTGTTTACACGTGCGCTATTTTTTTCTTTCTTTTAAATCCCGAAATAAAATAACAAATATTTACTTAAATATAGTGAGCAGTCGCAAAGAAAAGGACTTGTGGTACTGTACGATATGCGTGATACAAAATATTCCAATTTCGATTATCATCTTTGCATCAAATTGTTGAATTTATTCAAAGTAAGTTTTGTTTTTGGTGGCTTATCTATTTAATTTCATGGTAATCTTCATCGTAAAATGTAATCGTCACCTAATGTAGAGTGCTACTGTAATTCAAGGTAGCACTGCTCGATGGAGGTTTGATTCTTATTTACCCAGTGACACACTAACTAGAGATCGAATATGGGTTGTGTCATCAATTCTCACATGAGACGAATAAAAGTCACCTGTACACTTATCGACTGAGTTGAATCGATTATTGAAGAGCTATTTACAGTTTTTTATAATTACTGTCAGACAATTAGACAAAGTATTATTGGTGATTTCGGTATCGATTGTCACATGCCTTGCCATACGCACACACGCACACTGTTTACTTTCCGATTGATTCAATGTGATTTAGAAAAAAATATCACAGAAGATGATAGTTCGTTTAGATAAAACTCATTAGTTGTTTGTATTTGTGAATTTAGTGAAATTAAAATCTAAATTGTTATGATTGAATGTTCATTGTTTGATCCAATGTGACCTACAGCTTTGCAGAGAGTAAAGGCTTATTTCTGTACCATAGGTTTTCCTCTAGGCTCACTCTTAAACAAATAGGTATCATTATAATCCTCATTTTTAGAAGGAACACTAGTTATAGAGATTATTATTATTACTCGTAGGTTCAATGTCAAGTCATTTGTGTGTTTTCTCAACAAATGTCAAATATTCCCTTTATATTCTAAAGATTTCAGATTTGATGCCAGTAGCGATGGAATAAATGCAAAACTTATTAATGGTTGGTGACTTATTGTTGTCGAGGTTCAGGACTGCAATCAGTCAGTTTCTGTCGCCATACGTACATCCTGAACGAATTGCCTTTTGTCACAAGTTTTAATATATTTAAATTTTAGTTGTCAATGCAAACCAGTATGTGCGTTCCGTCCCACCTTAGACTCGTCAATGTACTTCGATTTAATTATTTATTCATGGTTGTGCGCTAATATATTTATGTATGATTTATAACAATGAAATAATACTCATCGACTAGTTATTTTATGTAATAATTATATAATGACATATTGATTATAAAATAACATTGAGCAACCGGAAGAAAGAGGATTATAATAATCAAAGTTATTATTCGGAAATGAAACAGCTGCTACGTTGCATAATATATAAAAAGAAGGAACTAACAAAATATTTTGATGAGATGTCAGTATTACATTAGTTATGTAAGACATCAAGGGACGAATGTTGAGAATAAGTAAAATACAAAGGTGGAAGGAATTAGAAAATATTCTAAATATTACTGAAGGAGATTTCATCAAAGTTCTGCTACCAACCCACTCCTATACCGGTAGACAAGGTAGCGAGAGTAGTTGCACAAACATCTTTCGGATCCAAAGGTTTAGTTTATGAGCATGGATTCCAATGGCTTAAGAAATGTGCAAAAGACGAACTCGTAAACCATGTAAATTTGATGGAATATGGTGGATAACCTTAAAAGCTTTATTCAATCCAACTTGATGACCTATGTCCACCAAGTGAGCGAGAATAGAACTCTTAATCACTCCTACCTGTCCTTTGCTCAACCAAGACGGATGGTGTTCTGTTATGAAATGACGGACTTGCCGAATTGTACGCCCTATAAAACTGGCTCCACAGGAGTAGTTGAATTAGTAAACACATATGGATGTAGCGAATTCAGGCAATGTCCTTACTATGGGACGGTTGTAAAAGACGTCACTCAGTACGGCCGCATTAAATGTTTTCTGTACCGCTTTTTTTAACCATTGAGTCATAATTTCCTCGGTAGCATCATTTGGGAATTGTAATTTAAAGAGCTCTCTCTCTCTCGAAATGCTCTCACACGGCCACGCGTATATAGCCTCTGCCAGGGAACTTCTACTCATTGCCTTCTCGTGGCGAGGATGTTGTTTACCAAATTGAGAGGACGAAAAGAGAATTTCCAGCGCTCTAACCGGGTTGGTGAACATGGGGGGTCCACCTAGGGGAGTTGGAAAACCCTGATTCCAAACCAATGGTGCACATGGGCTCCAGGATCCTGAAGGAACAAATGGTGTATGAACCGATCGTTGGTCACCGGCTACCATGGGACTGCATCTCCTTACGTTTCTTCGCTGCCTTATGGATCAGATCTTCAGGGCGGAGGCGGTGAGTGTGGTCCCCTAAGAAAACCACCTGCTTCGTTCTGGGCATCCGGGCAGTATTCCAGCTCTCACACAAGTCGAATGATTTATGTGTCTCATTTCTATCTGGTGCCTCATTGTACCAATATCTATGTGTTTGATAAATAAATACATAGTGCACTCACACATTTAAAAAAATTACCGTGTCGTTTCGTTTTACCACAAATAAAGGTGTTTAGTTAATATATCAGTTGAAAAAAGCCTAACTAACTTGAATTATAACTGATTGGTTGATGTAGCAGCAGTGTGCGATAGTTTAGTTGCATTCATTCAATAATTCATCATAGTGTCACAGTTGCTATTAATACTTATTTACACTTCTTGGTATGGTATAAACACAAGTAATATTACAGTCACAATGAAAAACCTTTGACTTTGGAACTACACTAGTTTCGGGAACAGATACCTATTACGATTTTAAAACTTGCCTAATAAGATTCGATCATCATTCGGAATTAGACAAATACGAGAATGTTTTCTATTCAGCAGTCAATCAGTACAAGTATCTCAGTCACTCCAATAAAATGATCATTTATTATCCTAATAGTTCATAATAACATTTTTCACATTGGTGATGTTAGGTCAAATACAACAGGGAACACCAGGACCCTGAAAATTGTAGATATTCACCTTGTTATGGACTGCTAACTATTATGAAGCCCAAGTTTGTTTTCTCCTGCCGATCGCTTCCAAACATATATCATGTTTAATTTAAACGGTCTTTGTATTTCGTGCAAATCAACTCTCAGTTAGTCTTCTCGTTATTTGTCTTTATGTCTCATGTAGCCTCTTGATTATAGATACTCAGGATTGCAGCCTTAGACCTGTAAGTTGAAAGTTGATATGTGATACTCATAATCCGTTGCTCTGAAACTAATTCAGTTAGGATTTATCAGCTTGTCGATACCACTAATGAACTTCCGATGAAAATGTTCCTTTTTATTCACGTTTATATGTCGATTTTTTATCCCTTGTATGATTTATCTCTTGTGTTATGTGCTTAGAGGCAACTGGTAGAAAACCGATCCTTTGAACATGGTGTAATCTGCAATCTTAAGAGCACTTATACTCTTTGTGAGATTCTAATATTACGCATACTCAACTATTACCTATATCGACGCTCGATGTTTTATGGTATAGTAGTAGATCTAAAAAAGGCTATAGACGGCCAAAACAAGACTTACTATCAATCCATAAAGTCATTGACTATAGTACTTGGCCCTGTTGCTGTCTCCAAACTACCTGTGATTGAAGTCTATGGGATTATCGTAAACCATGGTTTGAGACTTTTGATGAAGTAGGTCCGAATCAGTTTGAATATGGCACGTGCCTTCACTCTTAATCTCCCCATAGCTCAAGAGTTTGTAAATCATATCCTGTACGCCTAACCTTCATTTTTCCTACTACTATGATATTCATCTTTATAGTTTCATCTCGATTTACTGATTTTATGTGGCAACCAACTTAAACTGGTAGACATAAGCAAAATTTAAAATCTAGTACATACGCCTGTGCATTGCTTTTTTGTGTTTGAAGTTGGACTTACCTATTAAGTATAAATATTAGCTACAGAACGTTTTTCTCTCTGATATACATTTTTCATTTGTTTTTTTTGTCCATGTATGTGCGATGTTTATGTCACTCTTATCCTCTACATAGGGTGTTTATCCAGCTCGTCTACGTAAAGTGATTATCATTGAACCACCATTTTGGTTTCGAGCTCCATTCAATGTACTGCGATTATTTGTTCGTGAAAAAATGCGAGATCGGGTAAGTTTTTAATTGGATTCTATTTAAATAGTCAACAATTATCATTTTTAGTATGGGGATTTGTGATGATTGTAGTATCTTAACAGTTGCATTCACGAGTTGATATAAGGTAGACCACCATTGACAACCTGGAAGCACTGGATGGTCATTTCGTCCCTGTATGGGACTCCTCAGCAGTGCTCATCCACGATACTGCATATATATATATATATGTATAAGAGTAGAGGATATTCGTAGGTTACTAGTATTTGATCATAGGTGTCTTCGAAACATTGCTCGTATATCCTGAGAACATCGAGTAAGTAACGCAGTTGTTAGGAAACGGGTACTAGGTAAGGATGGCAAATCGACTGATGAAGTGGTGAAACCTCATCAGTTGAGATGGCTGGGACATGTGTTACGTATGCCCAACGACCGACTGCCTCGACGTGCGATGTTCAGTGGTATAGGAGTAGGTTAGAAGAAAACTAGGGGCGACCAGACCAAAACATGACAAAAGTCCATGAAGTCACTGACAAGTGGACTGAGTCATGTTGGCAGGTGTAAACTACCTAATTGGGGACCGCGAAATGACAGCAACCGATGGTTAGAGACCCTGAATGACATGGCTCAAAATTGTTTGCAATGGCGCAGGTGCATACACTCTTTGTGTTCTCCCAAATTTTAATCTCCTGATTCTTCCTTTTCTGTTTTTTCTCTTCCAAAATTTATTTCACTGTATTATGCTCTTTAAATAACATCTTCAAACCCCAATCTTCCCGATTACTACTTATACTCTTACTACCTCTACCACCATGGGATTTGAATCTACCACTGCATCTCTGTGCTAATGTGGTGTGGCAACTCGAACTGATGTACGTACGTACGATGTTCTACGTTGTTATTGACTGATGTATATATATATATATATATATATATATATATATATGATTTGATAAGAACTATTTTACGGGTGGAATTACCAGTGTAAAAATGTCTTAAAGTGAAATAATAATAATAATAATAATAATAATAATAATAATAATAATATTATTATTATTATTATTATTATTATTATTATTATTGAATAACACTAGCACATGATCCTATACTCAATTATCATCCACAGTTTTGCGTGTGTGTGTGTTTGACAGAGAGATACATGGAAAGGGCTAGTGAATGATATAGCCTAATAATTGCCAAAACTGAAGTGAATAGAAGAGAATTTTTATTGGAAGTTTTTATTGACTGTAAGGTAAAAAATATTTTTAAACCATTCATTAGACCTACACAGTTGTAATGAGTTCTAAATTATATCACATTTAAGAATTATGTAACTACTGATTTTTACTTTCTCTTATGAGAAGTTTAATACCAGCGTGTTTTAATCTTTACTTTATTGCATGATTTTAACACAATAACAAAATTCCGTGTAGTTATCACAAGCTTCTGTATTGATATTATTTTATGAAACCGTTTTGAGTTTATTCACATTTGTATATATTAATAGGTTAGACATATTCCAATTTTTCTAATTGAATTGATAAATTACATACTCAAGCTAACTCGATACTCCATTTTGTTGTTGTTTTATCAAGCATTTGTACGGGATAATTGTGTGATTGACACTTGAATAGACTTAATGTGATTTGGAACCCCTCAACAATCGGTAAACTTGTTAAAGTAGACTTAATCTATTCAGAGATGAGAATAAACCCTGGACAAGTAAGTAATATGATCAAACGGAAAGATAATCAGTAGAAAACTCCAACTAATCAATGGTATGCTTGTTGACAACCGCAAATTGAATTCAACATTCAGCTAATAAGCTGTCCATAACTTATGGAGAGATTATAATTGTTTTTATTCCTCTCTTTGTTCTGGCGATAATGTCGAGACAGGCAGTTAGTCAGTTATAAGGGACATACAAATTGACATTCTTGTACTTCGATCAAAGTTACCTGCCACAAAACATTAACACAGTGATACGAAGTTATTACAATGAATACAAAAAAAGTAGAATTAGTATAAGTATAACCCTGCAAACTACAACCACATAATCCATAACTACCAACACATCTCAGCGCAACAGTGGATAATTTCTTAGATTAATGCCATGCCATGTTTTAAACGCTTTTTGCTTACTTCCAATCTATTTCTACATCAGTCAATATCACGCATCGATATAGACAATTGTCGGGCATACGTAAAACATGTCTTTACCACTTCAGTCGATGAATATTCATAGCCTCATCAACTGATTTATCATCTTCTCTTTGTACTCTATGTTTAACCTCATTATTACGTGGTCGTTTCACGACGTGCGAGCATTTCTTCGAAGATAAAATCAAAAATTTCCAATCAACATATATTCTATTTTATAAACAATGTTTCATAGCGTTAATGTAAAAATTGGCATTTAAAACCAAAATATATTCGTAGGTTATCACTGGTAGTTGATCATAGATGTCTTCGAAGCATCGTTCGCGTATGTTGGTACCACTAATTGAGTTATTCTGAGGCTAGTCTCTGGGCACCAAACAAAGGCAATGAGTTGTTAATGGTGTGAATGTGTATCGAATGATACGGTTTCAAGAATAAAATACCATGAACCTTTTTACTGTTAAACCAACTATTGAACTCACGAGGAATATATATCTCACCACCAACGACAACATGAAGAAATCATTCTCCTATGCTATAAATCCCTTTGCCAACACTACCATTAACTCTACTATGCACTGCTACTAGCGACCTTGTAAGATAAATTGTTGTAGTTCTTATCATAAGTGGTTCGTAAAATAACGAAATATACACACCTTCTTTCAATCCATATATATATATATAATAGACATTCTTGCGTTTGCCATGACCGAAAGCTAGCAAATTTTTTCATGTCTTTCTTTCCACTCATTTCTTTCTTCAAGTCAAACAGAAAATGTTGTTTAAGTCTTGATTTAGGCAAAGTAGTTTCACTGGGGAAAAAATCATTCGTTTCTCTAGGTGTTTTGTCTCTAATGTTGTTGTTCAGTTGTATTTTCTAGAAACAGATTTATTATTAATTAATTAATTAATTATTATTATTATTATGTGCATAATACACTGACAAATTAATTATTCAATTGACTTAGTTATTTAGTTATTAGACTCTTATCCCTTCGACGCGTAATGGTTTCATGCGTGGGTGGAAATACACGGAATAGAAAATTATTTATCATATGCATGTGTCTATCTATCTCCTCTCTATTGCTTTTATTACCTTACACACCTGTAGTTTATGTATGAAAATGAGTAGTAGGAGGATAAGAGTTTAATGTCTTACACTTGATGATATTCCCATGTACAAAAACTATTTACATTGGTTTATTTGAATGAATGTTGGTTGATTGTATGATTCTGTTTAGTAACTGGATAGTAAGTAAGCGAACATGCGCATATACATTGAATAAATCTTTCTTTTTTTTTCATTTTTCATATGTTCTGCTTTTAATCTGTGTGTTTGAATGTACACATTTTTTTCCATATGATGTTTTTTAGGCTGATGGATACATTTTGGCTGCAACTTATTTTTGCAAATCACAATATCATATAAATTTAACATATTTATCATTTTGTGATGGGATAACTAATTATTTATCAATATTCGATGGATGTTTTAGTGTTAAATATGTATGTTCGTTTGTGTAGTATACACGCATGTGTACGTGCGTGTTCTATTAAAAGGTGTTCCATATCTTAGATGAATTAGGTGGCATTCTATTAAAAATATGCATCGGTGAGAAATTTTTTGCATGTCTTCAGCTAAATAAAAATACTACAGCCTCCATAAATCCCCTAAATTGATAAATGATAAAACACTACAGACGCATGTAAACATACAGACGTTATGATCATATTGGCACTTAAATATTTCAATGGTTGAGATCATGAGTCAGTTGAAGCTAGACCACCATGGAAAACCTGGGTGCATTGGACGGCCGTTTCGTCCTATTGTGGGACTCCTCAGCAGTGCGCGTCTACGACCTCACCCCCCTGCGAGATTCGAACCCAGGACCTACTGGTTTCGCTCGCGAGCACTTAACCACTAGACCACTTAAATATTTCACTAATAAGATGATCAATTGAGCAGAAATCAAGCTAGAATGATAATGTACTTATACAAAGTATAAGGCCAGTCAGTACACATTAAAGTCAGTATAGGATCCGTTTCACGCCTAAAGTAGTCTCCTATTTCTAACAAAGCTGTATATATTTATCTTCGCTCATTACCCAATTACATGTTATTTTCATCTGATGCATCGGTTTGTTTTCTGAGAGTCCGGTCAACGAGAATAAACAAGTATATTTCTGGCATCACTTTAAAGCACAAGAAGAAAAAACGTAAGAGCCGTAGTGATGATGATGGAACTAGAGAAGATGCGTAATAAATAAATATCATACCTGCGTGTTCATTATGAACGCTGAATTGAGTAAATGAATGAAACTGGGATTCTACAAAATAACTAAACATAACGTTATTATGTGCATTTATACCACGATGGTTGACTTCTCAAACAATCGAACTAATAAGTCTTGAGATCTAGGTTCTTTTGGGCCTACGATTATGGTTCTCATATAATACCATCGGGAGCTAATGCAAACTCGGTACTACCGGTCACTGATACTCAAAGCGCTTCCATAATTAACCCCAACGAGATGAAACCCAATTAGAAAACATGAATGTAAAAAAGCTTGATATTCAACATATTTAATTTGAAATAGAACAACTCTCTCTCTCTCTCTCTCTCTCTATATATATATATATATATATAGTAATATGTGATCTTGGGAAATAATAGAATTTCAATGATTAAGATCATGAGTCAGTTGAAGCTAGACCAGCACGGAAAACCTGGATGCCGGCTCAGTGGTCTAGTGGTTAAGTGATCGCGCACGAAACCAGTAGGTCCTGGGTTCGAATCTCGCAGGGGGGCGAGGTCGTGGATGCGCACTGCTGAGGAGTCCTACAATAGGACGAAACGGCCGTGCAGTGCTTCCAGGTTTTCAAAGGTGGTGGTCTAACATCAATCGGTTCATGGTCTCAATCAAGAACTAAATATAGTAAGTTGTCTATTGACACTGACTTTAATTTATTACAATGAATTTATTCAATGACGGTTTGTATTGTAATTTAGATTTACTCAATATAAAGCTTCTTAAATCTTTTAACAATTCTAAACGATCTGATGACATAAATTTGGATGTAGTATATTGATTTTATTTGTTAAGTTAATTAACTTATACATGGATATATTTATTTCTATGGATTCATTCTCATATTTTTTTAATTGTTGTACCAATAAAAGGAATGATTTTTTGTTTAGTTTAAAAGTTAATTTTACTTTTTTCTTCATCTCAAATCGACAATGTTACAATTTAAAAATCAATAAAAATTAATGAAGATAGTAGTAACTCCCAATTGTCTTGTTATTGTTAAGAAGTTCTAAAGTATTCTTTAAGAAAAACTATAGGAACTCAGCAAACACTGAGAAATATTTTATCTAGTCAACGTTGAATAGAAGCTTTTCAGGGATATCTAGAAATTAAAGTTACATGTTACGTTTCTGATTGGGTGATTACCTATCCTGTTACTATATTTAGTTCAGTTCCAGAAACTTCCGGAAGCCCGAGGTCGTATGTAACTCAGTAAATACCCTCGTTTTTTGTGTACAGAAACTAAACTTAAAGTAAAGAGTTCTTTTTGCACATCACTCCTTTTCTTTTGTGTTATTAAAAGCAACTAGGAAAACGGACCAAACATTTATTTGGCAGACTTTCCAGTTATAATCTGAGGAGATAATACAAACAGTATACACCACGACTCTAGAACTTGTGACTGTAGGTGTTTTCTTGTGTACAATAGGTTATCTATTGCATTTAAGGTGAGAAAAATCACCAACAGAATGTGAGGTAATCTAATCAGCTTTCTTTACATTTCTATACTTCATCTTATATCTTACCTAAATTTTGAAGATTTGTTCTAGAAGAGAGAGTTGTTTGAAGTGCTTCTGCCCGTATTATCAAGTCCTTTCAGTCCGTTATACATTTACATATTTTGTTAATTTAATGGTGGATCCTAATAGCTAGAAAATAGTTGATTATCAATCAAGGGTATGCCACTTGCTTAATTCCTGTTTGATGTGCTTTGGTTTGACCTTAATTTCACATGCCTTTATATGTTCTGAAAAATAATTTTAAATTCATTTTATATTTACCTTCTGTTTTCTGCTAATTATCACATAATTTCCAAATGTTCAAATTCCCCCTTTTCCGCCCCCGCCTAATATGGGTTCGTGTCGAAAACTTATCCCAAGTGTTTGTTCATCACTTCATCTAGTTCGGTTTAGGTATCCGGGATTCATACTTCACATACTATACACAAATTATGCTTTCAGTCTACTCTTGTTAATTAATTGATTTCGATTGTTGAATTTATGAATCGATCTAAGATGGACCACCACTAAAAACCTGTAAGCACTAGACGGCCGTTTCGTCATAGTTTGGGACTCCTCAGCATTGTGCATCCACGACATCGCACCTGAGACTCGAATACAAGACTTTCGATCTCGCGCACTAACACTTAACCTCCATACCATTGAGCTGGCATCCAAATGTGTTAATGTCTAATCTCAATCGATCCATAACTGTCTCTACCCGACACGGATTGAACTCTGCTGGTCACGGTTTCTAACCAAAACTCCAGGAGGTCCTGGGTTCGTGTCCCTTTGGCGCGGGATTGTTGATGCACATTGCTGAAGAGTCCCATACTAGAACGAAACGGCCATCCAGTGCTTCTAGGTTTTCAGTGGCGGTCTAACTTAGATCGAATCATGAATTCAACTATTAAAATTACTAAAATCTCCACGATTCCATATTTCTGATAATTAATTAATTATTTAATTGACTAGCTAATCAATTAAATATATTCATCTAATCCAATTTTATTGATTTAATTTTAATTTTTAGATATATTCTGTTGGTTATGATGAATTAAATGTACATTTGCCAAATTCCACATTGAAACGTTTATTTGGTCAATTAACATTAAACCAACATTTTGATTGGCTATTAAATTGTTTTAAACGTACTGGTCATTTTTCACGTATGCCAACTGATTATTTTAAATTGTCACAATTATCATCATTAAGACCATCTGATTCAATTTATTCAGCATTACATAATCCTTTATTAGGCAATGAATTGATTGTTCAACTTGATTTATACAATAATAATTATAATCATGAAAATGTCGATGATAATACTGACAAAATAATTACTACTAATACTATTACTAATGGTAGTATTAATAGTAAGGATATTTCTCTGTCTTCTATTCATGGATCATTACGTGTTCCTATGAAAAATCGACGATGTTCAGATGATTTTTTACATACAACTATCATAACATCTTCGTCATCACCAGCTATAACGACAATATCCAGATCATCATTATCTTCCATGGTTCATGGATCAACACAACCACAATATTATAACACAATAAATGGAAGTATTTCACCACTATCACGACTAATAGGGGATACTGTTGGTTTACAAACATCACCATTACCACGTCGTGGAGTATTAACTAATAATCGTATGACTGATTCAATGTTTGAAACATCTGTTAGTCATAATAATAAAGATTGTACATCATCATCAACATCATCTATGTTTCATAATGAACGACGTGTATTCTATCGATCTGATCGTCATCTTTCTCATTCCAACTCATTTAGACACAGAACTAATACAATAACAACATTAGCTAATAATATCAGTAGTATTAGTAATGGTTCAATATATTCCACTCATTCACCTTCATCTAAAGATCAATTATATGTTACAAATCCTTTATCGGAAACACGTTTGTCTGTATCAGAATTTATCACTAGAGTGCAAAGTGTTGGTTCTATTGGATTAACTTTAGAATTTGATGCATTATTTAAAGATAGTCCTGTGAAAGGTGCTTGTACGCGTTTTGCGTAAGTTGTTTACATGTTTATTGTTTGAAATAAAAATCACTTATTCATTGATATCTCAATAGCACAATAAAAAGGATTTATCTTTGTTATAGATTTCTGTAGAAGTAGTAATAATAATTGTTGTAGTATTAATGGCAAGACTTTACTATACCGATGAACTTCAGCAAATTTATGGGTTGCCTTGAGATTAGATAGTCAGTGATAACCAATACGAATGTAGCTTTCATTTAAGAGCTCTAAAATGTAAAAACCATAGAAATACAGAGGATTAGAAGTTTTCAAACCATTAATGAAATTAGTAATGCTGTGTATCAATAATTCAGGCTGAAATCAGGATGGACCCGAATTCTTAGCCCTACATCTTCTAAAACGTAACTCCTGACCTTGACAACCCTAAACCCCAGCTCCTAACCATAGAACTCGACCATACCTCCTTACCCTAAAACGTCCTAACTTCTAACTATTAAACCTCAAGACTTTGGCTCCTAACCATACTACTTCTCAACACTGGTCATCAACACTAATATTTCTAACCATAACCCTGGTTCCTAACCCCCAAATGCCCTGGTATGGCCGAGAGTGGGGTGGGCCCGCCCTCCCTCTCGAAATGCTCTCACACGGCCACGCGTATACAGCCTCTGCCAGGGAAGTCCTACTCACTGCCTTCTCGTGGCGGGGGTGTTGTTTACGAAATTGAGAGGATGAAAAGCGAATGTCCGGCGCTTTAACCGGATTCCAAACCAATGGTGCACATGGGCTACAGTGTCCTAAGGGAACAAATAGCGTATAAACCAATCGTTGGTCACCGGCTACCATGGGACTGCATCTCCTTACGATGCTCCACTGCTTTGTGGATCAGACCTTCAGGTTGAAGGCTCGGGGAGTGGCCCCCTTAGAAAGCCACCTGCTTTGTTCTGTACACCCGGTCAGTATCACAGCCCTCACACAAATCGAATGATTTATGTGGTGCATATGTATTTGGTGCCTCCTTGTACCAATGTTTAGGTGTTTAACTAATAATAATAATAATAATAAATAATAATAATAAGTTCCTAACCCTAGAACTTCTTAACGGTAGATACTAACCCTAAAACTCGTAACCTTAACACTCCTAATCCAAACTGACCTTAACAGTTCATTCCACAAGGAAAATACCACCCAATCCTTTCAAAATACGAGATATGGTGAGAATCATGAGCTTTAGTAACAAGCTATCTGGAACAGCGCTTTAAATTTGCTCCTCAGTCTTATTTTGCCTTTGGTCTTACAATATTACTTATGTGCTTTTTCTTTTCATCAAGTTGTCTCACATTCCACTTAGTCACTAGTTGGAGCTATGCATGATTCAGTGGAAGAAATCTTTGAATTTCAACCAGGAACATTTTTTGTAGCTTGACATTTCTCAGTCTGTATACACTAATTTACATGGCGTCGAACCCAAGACCTTCACTCTCAATTTTTATCACCGTAGTATCGTATGTTTTCCTCTTGATTGTATATCTTAGTTTAAGAGAGACAGTTCAATTCATCAACGGTTCTGTTACTTTTCGTTCTTTTTTTCTGTTTTTCTGATGATTTTTTACATCAGAAATTAACGTTAGATATATAGTGAATCAAGGTGATGCAAAATACTTATTACATTTGGGTAATTTACACTTTTTGCGCTCGTCATATGACCTAAAGGTTTTGATGATCTGAATGAAACCAAATGAGAAAAACAAATTTGTACTAATTATATATGTCAAAGAAAAGACTTTGAAACACTTCCAATGCGATCAGTTATGTATGGTTTTAAAAGTAATTTCCAATAAAAAAAATTCTCAGGCTTAATGTTAAGTCACGTGTATGTCAAATTGTAAACAGATCATTATGTGAATGTTAGCAATTAGTTAGATCATTCTGTATAAAAGAGTTAGTGTAAACTAATGAAGTGTTGAACAAATTATTGATGAATAGAGAATTACTTCATTAACATAATATTACAATAAACACTAATTGATCGTACATATTTGTATTTATGCCAGAAATTTAATTGTGTAATTTTTAAGTAATGTTCTGCATTTTTCCACAATTTGTTTCGCATTTTAAATTTGAATGTGGCAAAAATAAGAATGATAATAGAATAATCGATGAGTTCCCGCTAGTTGTTCACAACATTACTTACCTACTTCCTTACGCATGTGACCTCTCATGGAGGAGTATAGGCCGCTCACCAGCATCCTCCCTCGAACTCTACAGGGAAACCCTTTCCAGTTGCTATTCATCCTTTTCTTGTCTACTTCCGATTCTCGATACAGTCTGTTCCGTGGTCTTCCTTTTTTCCGTTTCCCTTCAGGATTCCAAGTTAGCTTTTGCCTTGTGATTCAGTTTCATGATTTCCTCGATGTATGTCCTATCCACTTCCAACGTCTTCTCCTAATTCCCTCTTTAACTGGAAGTTGGTTTGTTCTGTTTCACAGTAGGCTTTTACTGATGGTATCCGGCCAACGGATACTAAATATATTGTGTAGACAATTGTTTTTAAATACTTGTACATTTTCGATGATGGTTGTGATAGTTCTCCAAGTTTCAGCTCCATGCAGTAGAACTGTCTTCACGTTCATATTAAAGATTCTGATTTTGATATTGGTTGACAAACAGTTGTTTCGAGTTCCATATGTTCTTCAACTGTAGAAATGCTGCCCTAACTTTGCCAACCCTTACGTTTGCGTCTGCATAGATGATGCTAACCAGGTATGTGAAAGTTCCACCAAGTGTGATTGGGTTGGTGTTCTCCGTGTTGTATTTAAGGATTCTGCCTTCTCCTTTGTGTATGTTGAGGCCTACTGCTGAAGAGGTAGAGGTTTCTGCTACACTGGTTGTCTTGACCTGCATTCGTTGATGTGTATGGGGTAGAGGGGCCAGGCCATCTGCGAAGTCCAAATCGTCTAGTTGCATCCAAGCCATCCATTGTATTCGGTGCTCTCCTTCAGATGTCGAGGTCTTCATAATCCAGTTGACCGTCAGAAAAAAGAAGGAGGAGGAGAGTATGCAGCCTTGTCTGACTCCGCTTCTCACTTGGGATGCAGCTGTCCTCCGTGCATCACTTTGCAGTGTAGTCCGTCGTATGAATCATAGATGATGCTGACGATCTTCTCAGTAACCTCACAGTGTCGAAGAAGGCTCTATAAGGTCCTCATATCCACACTGTCAAACACCTCATAGTCAATGAAGTTTATGTATAATGACGAATTTCATTCAATTGATTGCTTAACAGTAATCCGTGGTGTTACGAATCGGTCTGTGTACGATCGATCCTTACGAAATTCAGCCTATTGATATCGAAACCGGACGTCCACTGAATCTTTCATCCGGTTCAACAACACTTTTGAAAACTTTTCATGGCATCGATAATCATGTGACACTTCTGTAGTTCTCACATTTGCTCAGGTCTACTTTTTTTTGGAATTTTGATGAGATATGCTTCTTTTCAGCCTGTCTGTGGCACTTGTTCCTCTCCCCAAATCCTTACTGAATAGAATGTGGAGCATGTTTGCAGTTGCTTGTATTTCTGACTTCAGTGCTTCAGATGATATGTTGTCATGTCCTGCTGCTTTTCCACTGTTGATTTGTCTGATGGCCATCCTGATTTCTTGGATCGTTAGTGGGATGACATAGAAAAATATTATTCAATCATTTTAAAAAAACATGTACATACCTTTAAACCAGAAAGTGTAACGCAACAATTTTTTTGAAACTGAAGTTAGCAAGACAAAATTAAATGGATAACTGCGTTTTTTGTTTGGATATATAAGTTCAACTTAAGTAGTTTTATCGCTACAACTTCAATAGAGCGTAATTAATGCGAGGTCATTTTGTTTATCGATCAGTTTGAATAATTGAGAAACTTAAACATGAGATGTTCACATTCCAAACAAATAGTGAACAATCGCATTATTTATTTATAATCGCATTACTGGAAATATTCTATTTTTCCAGCTTTAAATGTCGTGGAATGTGCTCAGAAATGCAGATACTTAACTGTTTTATTCTATTGTTCCAATGTATTTCCTTTGGTCAGTTTATGTAAACTGGTAAACACAGTTGAAGATAACATACAACAGTAATTTGTTCACACTTGATTGTCGTAATATTTTACAGTCAATAGTGAATATGTACAATTTGAACCAGATATAAGGGAAAAAAGAAAAGTATTAACAAAAGATAATTAATGCACCATACATTTTTAATCTATTCACTCCTATTTATTTGATCTTTGCAGTACATACTGCTGATGGTTTTGAAACCAGACTACTTCATTTTTGCCCTGGTACGGTCAAGGGTAAGGAGAGCCCACTCTTCCTGTCAAAATGCTCTCACATGACCACGTGTATACAACCACTGCCAGGGAAGTCCTACTCACTGCCTTCTCTCAACAGCTGTGTTATTTACGAAACCGAGAGGACAAAAAGCGAATGTCTGGCACTCTAACCGGGTTGATGTACACAGAGGATCTAGCTAGGGGATTTGGAAAACCCTGATTCCGAACCAATGGTGCAAATGGGCTCCAGTATCCTGAGGGAACAAATGGCTAATGAATCTACTGTTGGCCACCGGCCATCATGGGACTGCATCTCTTGACGTTACTCCACTGCCTTGTGAATAAGACCTCTAGATCAAAGGCTTGTTGTATGACTCCCTAAGAAAACCACCTTCATTTTGGGCATCCAATCATCATACAAATAGAATCATTTGTGTGGCACATATATATTTGATGCCTTCTTGTACCAATGTTTATGTGTTTAAATAAATAAAAATTCATTTAAGGTTAATTTACCGTGAAAATTATCTGTAAATTGTTTAAAATTCTTTAAAAAATCACCTTAGTAAATGATATGTCGATCTTGATGTATTTCTGTATAATGGAGTAGTCACAGTTCAATCCAAAACTTGTTGGTTTCATTCAATTTTTTTGTTTGTTTTTGGTGTGAAGATTTATTATCTGTAGATGTACTTCCATTCTATTATTGGCATTTACACTAAAATTCATACCATTTACTCCAATAGAGATTGATTACATTCAACCCTTATCAAAAGCGTGAAAAAACACACATCATTACAAATAACAATATGTGTTTATTATTGTTTGTTTTCAATCGTATCACTCTACCATTTTATACACTAATCAGTAGTAGTAATAATAGCCGTAATATATTGGTAGTTATCTGAATAATTCCATATTTAACTTAAACATACAAACATGTAAGTGAATTAGATAAATATTCTAGAAATAGTTTAAAAAAAGGAAAGTGTTTCACCTTGATAATTAGAATTTAGGCGACATAAAAATACTCGTATATTTTTCTCCTTTTTTATTATTATTATTATTATTATTATTATTATTATTATCTAAGCACCACATATCATCATCCATTTGTCCATTTGCTGATATCATCTTACAGTTCATTACATTTTAGTCTCAATTTTTTTATCAAATATATTTTGTTTATATTCAATCAACCGATAAGATAGTTGGATTAACTATTATTATTATTATTATTATTATTATTATTATTAGTAGTAGTAGTAGTAGTAGTAGTAGTAGTAGTAGTAGTAGTAGTTGTTGTTGTTGTTGTTGTTGGTGGTGGTGGTGGTGTTGTAGTAATAGTGGTAGTAGTACTTGTGATGTTATGTCATATACTATTGACTTATAATACAAGGTGATTAGAAAAGTGATCAATAGAAAATCATGCACCAAAAAAATCTTCATTCTAATATTGGTAATTATCAACAAAGTCTATCTGTAATACTAAAGGAATTGATGTTTTCTTTGTGATTTTTGAGACTTGTATATCACAGTCAGATAGAGGTTAATTTTAGTCAAATTGATTAATGGAATTCAATCCACATAGTACACTAGACAACATAATGTTTGTTATTAATAATTAGTGTATAAACCTAAGCATCATTTTATAGAAAAGATTATACACATAACTTATTCATTTTTCATCGATACTTTGATTTGATAATAATGTTGGTTGATTGTATCAGAATATTGAAAGTTAACAATAAAATTATAGGATTTCATATCCATAGTTATCAGATATTGTATGTAATCAGTTTTCATATTCCATATACTTTCAGAAATCTATCCTTCTTCAAGAAGTTTAATTAGTTAGTCAGCTAGTTATAAATAATCCCAGAATTTATATTAATAAAATGAAATCCGAAGGGGTTGTAATGGAATAATGCTAATGGTTTTTAAAAGAAAAACATAACAAGAAATATTATATACACTCAATCATGCCCTAATTATTGTATTCAGAAAAAGTGAAGAAGCTGAAAAGATTTCTTTTCAGTTAACATTCAGTAGGAATGTCTCAGAGGTTTCTAGAAAGATTTTAGATTCTGCGTCATACTCTGTTTGAATAATTAGTTATCTTTACTACTAATTTTAGTAGGCTTCTGGAATATCATTGTCACGTTTAAACCTAGAAATAGCTTTTTTGTTCTGTACTTAAACTACCCATGGTAGTTGGTTTTTTCATTCATCCTTTTATTTGTCTCCTGTTCAGAACTCAAATGTAGGAGTTATCTGGGTAACTAGGAAGTGGTAATCAAGTGTTCGAATACCAGACTTATCAGGAGGCGAGAAAAACTTTATTCCTAATGAGTAAAATATAACAAAATGAAAGTATATAATAGAACGGTTACATTTACAATATTTTCACAAACGTCCATGGTATCATTCACCTATAACTGTCTACATCTCATCAGTTATCCCTGACCCTAAGCAATATGCAGGGTATGGCTAAATTTGTATAACAAATTCGGTCAATGAAGGCTTACAACCTTCTCAATAAAACCCCCTACGTTCAACCTCCCTGTTCTTTAATAATGGTTACGTCATATTCAAACAATCCTTTGAAAATATTTACGGTCACGCAATTAGAACATCTCATGTCTTCCACTTGTTTTAGTGAATAAGAAGTAGGACGACTGATCTGTTTCTTTGTAATCAACAGTTTGATCGAACTAACTTCTAAAAATACTTATTTTGAAGAAAAAAACAGCTGATTTTATAGACAATGTCTTCTAATGGTTAACTTTCATCAACTTAACATCTGTGCTTCATATTCAATGTAAAATATTCAATTTCTCATCATCCAATAATATGTTTGTTTAAAACAACTGTCACCGTCTAATTGGTCATGAATTAACCCTTTATGACTTGTAATAAAAATATTCTTGCTTAATTAGTAGATGATAAGCACCAATCGATCGATTAATAGTTTGCAGTGATATGATTTGTGGCCAAATGATAGTTGCCCATGGGACTAAATTATCCTTCAGACTGGTGGTTTTGTCTTTTGATATCAATTCAGTTGGATTGGGGAGTGACTTATGTCAATAAGTTTTTCTTCTAACAAAACAAAATGCTCATATACAAGGCATTAGATAAAAGAAATAATTAAAAGTCATCTAACGGATAAACGATTAAATAATATGAAGACTAGTTAGATCATTCAACTTGTGATTTTCTATAATAGCTTTATTGTTAAGCTTAATTCCGGATCAGTTATTATTATAAATATAAAGAAATTAACGTAAATCTGTTTCTTTTTCTGGTCGTTTTTCTAAAATCTTAATATTTTCATGTTCAATATGTTTTCTTTTCTTGTTAATGATTTCAAAACAAAAACAAAAGTCTACCATTATCACATCGTCGATGAATAAGTACATTTCTATCAAAATGTTAGATTTAAAATGCAATTTTGACTGAAGCTGATTAATTCATCAGTGTTCATTTATGTTTTATCCATTATGACTGTATTTTCTTTTTATTTATTTATTTATGTTTATTTATATAGTCAAGCATCAAACAAACGTCGTAACCGTTATCTAGATGTTCCTTGTTTAGATTCAACTGCTGTGGAACTATCAGACAATACTTATATACATGCGAATTGGGTTGATGGTTATCAATGTCCACGTGCATATATATTAGCTCAAGGTAAATTTTTTAAATTTGTTTTTATTGTTTAACTTTATAAGCGATAAACATTAACTACCATCGAATACGCATAGTGGCTAGCAGCGTAATCCAGAATGTGCGTTTCGTCCTATTTGGGACTCGTCCGCTGGATGTACCTGTATCTCAGAGTTGATGTTCACCCTTGGACTCGAACCCAGTACCATTCTCTTCAGCCGCCAGTCATAAACCTCAATGGGAAGATTCAAGCGAAACAATACTAAGTGAATTTAAATTCACCCCATTGTACAAGCAAGTGGCTATCGGGACTCAGTACCTGACTGTTAAACGCGATGGCGCTTGAAGTGAGTGGTACTGGGTTCGAGTCCCAGAGTGGACATCAACTACCATCAATTTCATAATTTTTCAGATTGATACATTTCAGATTATTTCTTTTTAAATTATTTGAAAATTTAATTATAAAGAGTGTTATTTGAAGACAATATTCAATGCAGATTTACACTCTGAATTAAGGATTCGTTGAGTGAAAAATGAATTGTGCCAGACATATGTTTGGTTGAATTAATGTTAGTTAGTTTGTGGTGAAATTTACTTTGAAATTGTAAAAAGACTATTTTTGACATGCTAAATGATTTATTAAAACCTAAAACTAAGAAAATAACAATTGTGTGTTCATTTATTGCCTAACCTTATAATGGTATTTCATAGTTAAGTCAAGGTAAAAGTGATGTAAATCACCACCTACCAATGACTTTAGCTTGCATATTAACTCATTTTAAATCAAGACTGGTTCATTGAATTCTGACTTATGTATGTATTAATGTACTAGGTGAGAGTTGAAAGCATCAGCCTTCATCTCCTGTGTGTGTGTGGTTGAAGTCAGGTCTTCAAAATTATAGATTATACAATTGTTTCTGTAGAAGTGAAAGTATTCTGAGGTATAGAAATTGTCACAATAGTGTAGAACAATACGAGGAGTGTAATTTCAAATGATTTATACGAAAGGAGGAATGTCAATTCTTGAATGTAAGCGATACTAGTAATACTTTCATCATAAGGACAGTGTGGAAATCATTATTTCACTCAAGACACTTAATATGAATACAGATTAGGACGTTCCCGTTTTTTATCGATAATTTCTTTCATTAGAATCAATCTAGTTTTTCGACTTCGTCAGATACAAATGCTAAACAGTAATGAATTTAATTTTATTAACCGTAAATATTTAGTTGATTGAAATTAGTCGTCCGAAATCTTTGAATCTAATTTCTGCTCCATTTGGTAATCACTTATCAACAAGATGTGTCTGAAATCCTGGAGAGACTTATCAGTAAAATTCGACCAGAGCTAATTACTAGACAAATACGTTCTTGCTTATTACTCGAGGATCAGTTAAACTTAAGGTTTTTTTGAACAAATCGACTAGAATACAACCTCACTTATTACATTATTAAGTACAGGAAAACAAACGCAACCACTATATGTCTTATAGGCTGGTGGTTTTCATCATGAATTCAATAATATTTGTAAGGATAGTGTAGAATAACACTGAAAATCAGTTTGTATTGTGTTGGGGAGATCCAGAAAACTCCTCGAAAAAAAGCCAAGAAATTTTCTGAAAATACTGAAATGCATCTTATCTAATCAGCATTCACTAGAAGTTTTGCCAGAAACATCCAGAAAGTGAAAAGTTACATGTCGAGTTTCTGGTTGGATGATTATTTATGTTGCTATTATGTTTAGTAGCACTCCAGGATTTTCGGGAAACCCAAGGACATCTAAAATACTATAAAAACCCTAGATTTTCTGTACATAAACGAACCTTTGGAGTATAGCGTTTTCTACCATATTTCACGCCTTTTCTCTCGAGTTCAAGTCGTTGTGTAGATTTAGCCTGGGGTTTACTAGAATAGCTTAGGAACCGAATCTATCGTTCAATTAGAGGACTTATCATATTTTCAGTCATTTCGTCCTAAGTCTTGGCTACTATTCAGAAGAGTGTTGTATCCTTCTCTGAACTTAACCCTGGAAATTCAATCTAAGTCTCACAATATGTGCATACATATATCCATACTTCATACTTATTTTTAGTAACTCCCTTTTGGTTTAGTTATATAATTAACTTTTTTCTTGAAGAAACAATAATACTTAAATTTTGTCTGTCTAATTTATGATGGATCGTTAATGTTTAATTGAATTATGATCAGAATTCACCATGGATAAAATTAAAACAAGTTAGTAGTCAATACTGAAATTATACCACACACATCTATACACCCTCAAGTAAATTGTAAATTAGATCGCTTAATAACTTAGGCCAATACAAGAATAGGTCAAGGTCAATGAGAACTGTTCTGTTTCTAACCTTCTTCCTTTAAAATTTAAGGTATGTTGATTGATTTCGCTCTCTTGTTTATTTAAATTAAGAGAACGTGGTGATAGTGATAGTAGTTGATTGTAATTGGTCAGTGCTTCTTATCAATTGGAAAATTCAATTCAAAACATGTTCAGCGCTACAATAAAGAAAGTTTTTGTAAAGCTGACATTGTCACGTTTCTTTTTAAAACAGAAAATCTTAACAATCCCACTAAATCAGAGCTCAAGAATAACAACGATAAAAAAAATACACTATTCAATCTTTCTATTCCTGATTGAATTTTGTTGAGTCTGCTAATTCAACGCTTGACCCGATTTACTAGACGCTTCTTACAACGCCAAACTGAATATACATAGTTAAGTGAACACAAGAAAAGGTGCGAAGTGTAGAAGAACGTATTGCTCCGACGTTAAGGTATATACAGAAAGACGTGCATATTTAGACCAATGAACGTAGTCTTGATCATCTAGGAGCATATTAAATATAACAGTAAAGAACATTATCCAATCAAATATTTGACACGTATTCTATCATCCTTCTAGATGTTACGAAGAAACTGTTTTCTGAGCCCCTATTGACTTTTCCGAGGAGTATTTTGGGACTCCTTAACAAATTTTATTTGCCCAGTTTTTCAATATGATCGTCGTCTAATAATTTAACATTGGAACAATTCAATGAGATTTTTTTCAATTTAATTTTATACACTGTAACTCAAATTATTCTATACTTCATTTAAATATGTTGTTACCGTTGCTTTTAAATTACTTCTCGGTCTTTGCGTTTTATTTAAATATGGTTGCACTTCCGATCGTACATATGATATACACTGTATCATATAAATCATGTCATTCGGTCATAAGTAATTTAAACCGTCACACAAATGGATGTTGATCTGAATTGCCACGCTTCACGTCTGTACATTTGAGTAACAGAATCTAACTTCAATTATTCCAGATCCAAATTAATTTTGTATATTTTCCGTACTAAACTTCTTATGCAATCAAATTCGCTTGACAATACAATATTTGATAGTATGATACAAACTATTTTTGGAATGGATATATTTCAGAGACACTGATCAACAAACCAGACATGTAGGGTCCATAGTGTGCATGAAGTGTGTCTGTTGAAGTATCTTCTGCGTAGATAGATTTGCTAATCAATCTTTGTATCAATTATTTACTGAATATATATGGTCTATCTAGGTGTAAACTTAAGCAAACTAATATCTCATACGTCTGAAGATGTACGTGGATAGATACTCACAATTAATCATGTGAATTAATAAAAAACTATTCAACAATATCACAAAATGACTTACGTGATCGATATCTGATTATTTGGCGTTATACCAGTTCAGGCATTGGAACGTAACGTCAATTTATAGTACGAATGTGGGTTTGAGCAGCATGTACTTCCTATGTTATAAGTGAATAATACAATATGAGGCTGCTACAAAGTTTTCTACCATACTTGTGTATATATTATCATTTATAAAAAGTATGTATTTTGTGCAAATAATTTTTGGCTAGCCCCTAAAGGCCTCAGTACGGTGGAGGATAGGGAGAGACAGCTTTTCCTCTCGAAGTGCTCTCACATGACCATGCGTATACAACCACTCTACTCACTGCCTTCTCGCAGCGGGGGTGTTATATACAAAATTGAGTAGACGAAAAGCGAATGTCTGGCACACTAACCGGGTTGATGTACACAGAGGATCTACCTAAGGGATTTGGAAAACCCTGATCCAGTATCGTGAGGGAACAAATGGCGTATGAACCTACTGTTGGTCACCGGCTACCATGGGACTGTATCTCCTGACGTTACTCCGCCGCCTTGTGAATCAGACCTTTAGGTCGAAAGCTCCGGGTGTGCTACCCTAAGAAAACCACCTGCTTCGGTCTGGGCACCCAGACAGTATCACAGCCCACACACAAATCAAGTGACTTGTGTTGCGCATATGTATTCGGTGCATCTTTGTACTAATATTTATGCGTTCAAATAATTAAATGAATAAATATCCACCAATACTTCATCATGGGACTTACGAATCATCTCAAGTAATTCGTGTAGTGTCGACATCTGTCCTTAAAAATTACACATGGAAGAAAACAGCTCTTTCCTTGTGTTTCAAACGCTTCACTATTAAGGATATCAACGATGATCCGAATTCAAGATAATTATTGACGTCTTGTGTTGTTAAGAACGTCGGATTTGTGCATTATCTTATGCTTTCTAACTACGATTTCGTAGTTCAACTTATTACTGATAAACTGATATAAATAATTGATGAACCACACATTTGCGCACTTCTGTATATATGTTTAACAATGAAGACAGTAGTATGATGTGTGTATGATTAAAAATGCTAGACGTTTTAAAGATTACAAAACCTTAGTCCACCTATTTATTGAATGTACCATATATCATAATCACTAATTGACTTGATCAACTGCTATCTTTTATCATTACTTCCACCATTTTCAATGTTTGTATCATTCATTCTATCACTTTTAAGAATGTTAATTTATCAACAACATCTATCTTTAGTCACGTTAACATAAGAATACTTGATATTACAAACACTATAAATGAAATTAAACAACTATCATTCTAGTTAGTGTCAATAATTATAAATGAGAATAGGGAGAATCAAAACAATTCCTTTCACTTTTGTCCGCTGAATAATTCCTGTTTATCTGTTTATTACTATCACTGTTCATTATTACATAATGTCTAGATTATAAACTGACTAACATAAATAAGAAAAAACCCATTGGGAATCAAGAAATCACACGACAGAGTAGAGTAGTAGCTTAGCGATTAAGACATCTATCATTAATTAAGCCACGAGTTCAAACTTCGATCCACCTACATCGGTTTGGGAAACCTGGTTACATTAATAGCCTAAACACTTAAACTGTAATTCGAAGCTAAATGCACAAATCTCTACCCGATATATACGTTAAAGATGTAAACACTATGTGAAAAATCATTGAACAAGGCAAGATATCAATGTCTTAAACATTTATAATTCACTAGGCCTAACACTGCTGATGATATCGTTTTTTTTATTTTTACTTTTTTTAATGAACCATGATACTGAAATTATACAGTTTACCACAATTATCAAATTCGAAATTCAATAATATCAGAAAGTTATTTGTCTGCTGTTTCTGGTTATATACCCAATTCTCTCTCATTCCATTCTTATCGAGCTATCAATATGATGGCTCTAGATAAATAACAGAATTTGTAACCATTTGTTTCATCTCGTGCTATTATTATTATTCTTGAGTCAGTCAGTTAGTCATAGTCAACGTTAAGCCTGATATCAGTGCTCACCAAATCAGGTTATCACACCCCACACCGATACAAAAAGAGAGCTACTGTGATCGATTTTATGGTATGTCACTCAGAGTATCGAGCAGGTAGATTATGATTATTACGAGGACCTTAACAAGGAAGTCAACATCTACTGAAATGGTTCACATAAGAACTCATTGACTTCATTGCTTGATGCATTGTTTTAATTTTTTAAACGCAGTACATTCTGCTCAATCATTCTGCAAACATTATTTGTATTACTCATTGTGAACTTGTTTGTATTAAACAGATATGTAGATAGATATTAGAGATAACAGCCTCCCAATGCCCTGGTACGGCCGAGAGTGGGGAGAGTCCGCTCTCCCTCTCCAAATGCTCTCACATGGCCACGCGTATATAGCCTCTGCCAGGGAACTCCTACTCATTGCCTTCTCGTGGCGCTGGTGTTGTTTACGAAATTGAGAGGACGAAAAGTGAATGTACGGCGCTTTAACCGGATTCCAAACCAATGGTGCACATGGGCTCCACCATCCTGAGGGAACAAATGGCGTATGAACCAGTTGTTGGTCACCGGCTTCCATGGGACTGCATCTCCTCACGATGCTCCACTGTTTTGTGGGTCAGACCTTCAGGTCGAAGGCTCGGGGAGTGGCCTCCTAAGAAAACCACCTGGTTCGGTTTGGGCACCCGGGTAGTATCACAGCCCTCACACATGTCGAATGAGATTTGTGTGGCTCATATGTATTTAGTGCCTCCTTGTACCAATATCTATGTGTTAAAATAAATAAATAAATGATTAGGGATAACAAGATAAGTTAGGCTACGATATTATGGCTTCGACAACATTGGGTAATTGAATACAGAGCAGTCGGGATAAGTGGACACGAAAATCGGGACTTGATTTTCGTGCCGATTGACACTTACCAACAAGGAGTACTTAAGATCATTAAGGAACTGTCGCTCTCTGTTGGATTCGAATCATTATCATCCAGTTCCAGTCAGAGACATAACCATTGAACTACTTAAACGGCAACTGACTGTCGGTATGACCAAGATAGTTTCACTACTTGACCATCACGTAACAACCAGTGTCATATTCGTCCAGTCTAAATAAGCCGTCAACACGTATATTATGTTTCAATGTTAGTTGGTTGGATGCTAACAGTAAAATCCAAATAGCACCAAATATTAGGCTTTTATGAAATTAGTTATTACTCTGTAGTTAATATGATTTCAGAAATTTATTTAGAATCTATGTATTAACACATCGCTTATCATCTGTAGTCAAATAAATTCTTATTAGTTATTGTAAAATATCAAATCATTATCCAGACATCTGGTTGTGATAATACCACTTCACTATCGAATTAAAATAATTCATCTCCTGTCAGGTTTCTTCGTCTCTGTTTATTCGTTTTACAAATACAGGTGTGTATTTTTTTTTCGTTTCTAGAATAGTATTAGTATTAGTAATCAAAATATGTGTGAATTGATTGAATATACATACAAAACAACCAAGTATCTTAATCATTTTTCCTACTTTTCACACAATCTGAAGATAGTTTAAATCTAGGGCAACTGATTTCGACTAAAGATTGATTAAAGGTCGGTTAGCTTTAAATAACTTTTTAATTGGAGTTCCAAACTCAACATTCTGAACTTATCACTACCCCATCAGTTATCCAATATGGTGATCTTCAATTCTCACGGTGAACACAATACTTTCCGACGATTTAGTTAGCATTTAATAGCCAACATTTCTGTGCTCAGTTATTTTGTGGTATAACGTGAATATCTTTTAACACCATTGGTGATGCGTCTTACTGACGGCATACCAGTAATATAGTCGACAAGTGAACTACTACAGTATCTGTGCTATTCTAGTACAAATGTATTACTTCTTCACTGTTATGTTGAAGTATATGAATGGTAATATACTCATCAAAAAAATCGTGAAGCTATTTATTTCAAGTATAATTGCCTACATACAAAAGTTCGTACTCAAATACGAAACCATCCTTCGGTATTTGTTTTATTTAAATACAACTACTAATAAGTAGTGTGGGTCTTTATACAGAAATATCTACGACAGTAGACATTAATAGTAAATCAACCCTTGAAGCCACAAAATACTAGTTTTTCCCAAACCTTAGTTTGAATTACTTCCCTTCATTCGCGTACTTCATAAACACTATGGTTTTTTAACTACATCGAAATACTTTCAGATGGTCTCTTGTTCTTTCTGACTCAGATCATTTCATGATAGATTGTCTCTGAGATCTATCTCTAAAGTACACCTTAGTTTCCATCCTAAGTAACCTAAGGCTTTCTGAACAAGTCAAGATCAGTGATGTTTTGCACTATAAAATTAGTCCATCCCATTTTGAAATTTATTATCAGCTGCAAACACACTAGTATTGCAGACAATAATTGGGTTATAATCGAATGTCTGTCATAATTAACAAAATTAGAATGAAACAATACGACGGAAGATGGTTTGTGTTAGTTGTGAGAAAATAGACTATTGACCTCATTTTGACTTGGTCGATGGAATTCGATGAGCACAAAAGAACTAGACAAATATGTCACTGGCCACTACTTTGTGGCCAATTAAATGTAAATATCTTCTCTAATGTGTCAGACTAAAACTGGGTGACACGACCTCAAAGAGAGAGAAGTTAAACATATTTCCCTTTTGTACACATTCGTCAGAAACTTATGATAGCGATAGCCTCGGCACATCGAAGTGTAAGGTGACATTCATTGTTTTTCAATTGTTTATGAACACCCGAAAAATGCCTACTTCATGTTTATTATTTAATATCTGTCGATAGCAGTTATGGGAATTGTGATTCATTTCGGACATAGGTTTCTCCAGGGCTATTCCAGAAATTCCGTAGTTTGCATCACAAACTAATTTTAGTCAACCACTAAAAATCAAGACTCACTATACCACCATTTTGTCATAGTTACATTACATACCTACAACCTCACCGAGGTTTGAACCCAGGATTACCAGCTCACTGCTAACGCCTCCGACTTTAGACCAATGTCGGCATCCGCTGGTTCCTATTCGAGTTAATCTCACTAGTGTAGTGTTTTTTTCGGAAGGATCCGAACAAATCTCTATGCCGTACGGAACCACTCTTCTGTTTTTTTTTAAAATTCCTCTTCCCGTTAGTTTATTCCCTTATTTATATAAATAGTGTATGTTGATACACAAAGATTTCATCATTGTCACTATACTTCTCTCATTTTCAATCAAGGCCCATTAGAGAATACAATACGTGAATTTTGGATGACTGTTTGGGAGCATAAAGTCATCACTATTATAATGCTTACCAAGTTAGTATGTTTATTAATTAATTATTAATTTTTATTATCAACTATTCTTTTCATATCCGACTAAAGCGGAGAAACCATGCCTTTTGAACGACCCTGAGCAATTCTAACATTTCAATCACTTGTATTAGCGTGTTGAATTGCAGGTGATACCAATGAACAAATTTTTCCAGTAAACGAAAAAAAGCAGGATGTATATGCACATTTTACATTGTTTAAGAACTTAAGAAAATTTTAAAAAGGTCATATATTTTAAAATCGCAGTACGCTTTTAATAGAAGAATCCATTCATATGATTCTACAGCTTTTGATCTCTGGGGTTATGATGATGTCTAAGATATTCCCTACGTCGCCTGTCTTATAGTTTACGAATTGTCATTTGTCCATCACAACGTGATGCTTGTAACCAAATCCCTATAAACACTTATTAGCTTTCCACTCATCAGTATACGTTATCAGCCCTGGCTGGACATACTCCCTGTTGACAGGTATCAAGGTTGAAACCTGTCATTTTCTAACATATTGAAAGTTTCTTTTTTGAAGACTTCTATCTAAAATGCCGAAACCTGTGTAGTAGGTTATAAGGGACTCCTACTTACCAAGCATACTTTAAAAATTGTTCCACTACTATATTTCCGCTTCATCTATTTCTACAATCTTTCCCATACTTCCAAGCGATAGATAAACATCATCAGGATAGGTTTGTGGTGATTGTTGAGTTCCGTTGAAATCGTAGGCCGATCAATGTTGGACCACCATAAAAAACTTGAAAACGTGAGACTGAAGGTCCTGGGCTCAGTTCCACTGTGCGTGGTCGCGAATGCGCACTGCCTAGGACGAAACAGCTGTCCAGCACTTCGAGGTTTCAAAGGTGGCCTAACATTTATTGGTTCATGATTCCAACGATAAATCTCAAGTCAGAGATTTGTGCGAACTTATGCCTCGGAAATACTGATACTGTGGTAGTGTCAAAACATTTACTGTCAGCTAAAGCAGCTTTAAGAGTACCCTTTCCTATCATTCAATTAGTAGTAATTAACATTATCTACATCAATGTTAGATTCGAATAAACGAAGCAAGTACCCATTCCTGCTAATTTCTCTCTTCAGCATGCATTGCTTCGCATATATTTTGTTTATCCATTGTGAATAAGAAAATAACTTATTAATTATTTACTCTGGTTATAAAAAATATTATTTAGAGTTGTCGAAGGTCAACGTCCTAAATGTGCATTGTATTGGCCAACAAGAAATTCTTCTTCCTCCTTGTCAAAAGATCAATCTATTCCCCGTAGTAGTGTTCACCCAGTGGATACAAAAATGACCCCAACAATCAGTGCTACTTATGGAGAATTTCAAGTGACTAATTGTGGTGAATCTATTGAAGCTGGTGGTTTATACAAACGAAGTGTTTTAGAAGTGACATGTAAATCTTCAGTAAATGATGTCCATAATTCTACTACTCGTATTGGTGTCAGTAGATTGGAACGCAATCGACAAAAATCTAAAATGAATGTTCAAAATTCTCTCAAGGTAAATATTACATAACAGTGTAAATTCCAATATCCTTTCCTCATTTTCTCAAGGTAGTGCCTACAATTCATTTCATACAATAATCGTTACTATTCTTTATCAAATAGATATACTTTAGGAAACTTGCAGAAAAAATAAGCTAATTGATCGGGATTGAAACACCACTATTACTACTAGTACTTCTATCAATTATCTGAGATCGTATAAATTATCAAACTTCCCTCTTCATCTAATTGAAATCAGTATCCAACATTTAGTTCCACATGCGAAAAATGTATGGGGACGGTTTAACTAGATTAAATAATTATTGTGTCTCCATACATACTGTCAGTATATTAGTACTACTACTGTTCGTTTCTCTATCATCGTATTGTATTTCTGCCTATTTGTTGTGGCTAATGAATGAGTAAAACTTCTACCTTCATCACAACGTCTCACCAAACCGGAATATCACTAAATGATATCACACTTCATACTTTCAATTCATATGATGCTGTATGTCCAATGCTCCTGCTCCTGTGATACTAACTATACAGGTCATTCGATGTAATTTCTATCCAAGATAATTCAAGAACATTTTCCTGCTGGGTTTTTAAATAAAGTGAAACGGATCAATGAGAAGCTCCATAGTCGAGCACTTTGTGAAAACAGGTCGTTCGATATTTAAAAAACGTGATTTAAAAGGTAATCAGACAGCTGTCAAACATTGACCCTTCGCCTTCTTAGAATTGCGCAAGCAATTGCTATACATCTGAAAACGCAGAAACTCCTCATAAGAAAGAAACTTATCCAAACTCTCCTTGTGCCGCAGTCTTAACCTTCCTTTTTTTCTAAGGCCATCACCCTCTGTCCTCTCTCTTTAATTGATCTTTTACTCCGAATAGACATGTCTCTGTTTCCGTGCTCTTTCTGACCACAGTTCATATAAACTTCAACGTTTTATCTGAACATATCACACAATCTTTCACAATCATTAAGAACATTTATTCGAAGATGATAAGTATCAGTTGTGTAGAATCTCAAGAATCACACACATAGACATATTTTCCTCTATTGTTTGACTGATTGCATATTAATTGGATTTAATGGTCAAACTATTTTCTCAGTAAGGTGTTGTGAAAAGTATTAAATTTCAACATAATCATGGATCGACAACCATTGAAAGCATAGAAGCACTGGACTTCCGTTTCGTCCTATTCCGAAACTATCCATCAGTGCGCACCTACGAACACTAACACCGTGCCAACTTATTGGTCTGAAAGTTAAGTGTTTGTGCGCGAGACTGAAGATCCTGGTTTCGATCAGTGCGTGCGTAATCGTAGATGTGTACCGCTAAGGAGTCCCATACTAGGATGAAACGGCCGTCTAGTCTTTGCAGGTATTCAATGGTGGCCTAACTTAGATCAGTTTATAGTTTCTATGCAATTAGACTATTATTCTCTTAGTATATTTAGTAACTAACAGTGGGATCCAAGATGTGCCAACCAGCGGGAAATTACGAATCCTTACTAATGTTTGCAGTTGAAGTTTAAATTAATAATTGTAATCGTAAATTTCATTGTATATATATTTACTTCAAGATGATTGGTTTTACTTGACCTGTATATAAGTTGATATTAATAATACTAATAATAATAATAATTTTCATCACTATAATATTTATTTCGAAACATGAAGTTCACCACTACCTTACTGTTATTATAGATCTAGTGCCCTGATGAAATTCAAATACACATGTATATTATACATTTGTATTCGTGTGTGTGTTTGTTTGTTTTTGTATGATTGTGGGAGATATAATGGTTGTAAAAACCTAAGTCATTCATTATATCATGTAATAAACTATATTGTTCAGTGTAATCTAATGTACTTCACTATATATTCAACGTTTCATCTATACGAACAAACATACATAGCTAATTTGACTTTAAACTACTAACTTAAATAACATCAAATTATATCTCTAAGTTGCTCTAATTGTAATTTTAAAATATTTAAACTAGTTGTTACTTGATAAATTAATGGACAATATGTCGACTTGTTTGGAAAAAATCTAGGTTTCGGGTTCAACTTTCACTGTGGATATCAACAGTACAAGGTGTTTATCCATCAGTTTTCCAATATTCAATAAGTGTGCGGTATCCAGCATCTTCGATTATTACGCTGTTCATTTAGTGTGTGATTGTTGCATATGTGAGTGTACTTTTCACAGGAAATTTCGTTTTAAGCTCTAGGTTTCACCGTATTTGTGTTTTCCATCCGACATACTGGGAGACGCTACACGGATGTAATAAATTTCAGATGCTTGGAAAGAAATCTTCAACGAAAATTACATACTTTTATGTAACACTCACATACTAAATAAACGGAAAATGTCCAAAAATGCTGGATAGTGTACACGTATAGAAGATTCGAAAACGGATATACAACCTCACACACATATCAACACTAATATGACAGGAGTACATCTTGCCAATAAGTTTCAAATTGGGAGGAACGTGTGCGTCTTTAATCTTTTCCAAAAATATGGTCACGAGGAAACAAATAGACTTAACATCGGTTAATATATTGTGTTATTCAGAATATATAAATCAACAGAAAATACTTAGAAGCTGATCTCCGAGCTGCTTCAAATGACAGTTAAATTATCCTATTCTTATTCGAGCGATTGCAAGGCGATTTTTTAACCATATCTTAAAGTGCTACGAATACATAGTACAAATTTATGTGTGGCTTATGTATAGATCATAAAACCGGGTATTATTGAACTGAACAACTTTAATCTGTCTAGCTGTTTAAATATGATAAGTTAAACAGATATATATATTCCTGACAAGTCTTATATTGTCGACTTGCAAATGTCGTTAATAGGTGAATGAGAGTAGTTGTTGTAGATTCTACAAAAACGGATGTTTTTTGCACTCAAAGTCTTCTCAATATTCATCATAGTTATGATTGTTATTTTTCTCTTGTTTTCATCATTCATTTCCTCCATTTCAGGAATCCAATGATAATAATACTTTATCAGATAATAAGATAACAGTGCATCATTATTTATATTTGGGTTGGCCGGATTTCGATGTTCCAGCGGATTCAGAAGAATTTTTGAAATTTCTACTCACTGTTAAAAAAAGTCATAATTCAAGATCAAAATTATTATTCTCATCATCACTGTCATCGTCGTCGTCAGTATCACCACCAACAACAACGTCAACAGGATCGTCAAATCACAAAACAACTTCTCAATCCGATTCTCTATCCCCATTACTGGTACACTGTAGCGCTGGTATTGGTCGTACAGGTAGGTGTATATATAATGGTCATTGTGTTTTGTTTGAAGGTGATGATATGTTGTTTGGTGTTCATCTTTCGTCATCAATCTAACAGTTATTTTACGGGATTTATTCACTAGTTTTGGGATGTTTGTGAAAACATCATGTGAAGCTATTGAGTTTGATTCCTGGAAGGATTATGAATGAACACTGATAACGAGTTTTATAACGTAAACAATTGTCCTTTGTTTTCAAAGGTTCAGTTATTAACAAAAGCAATAAACGACATTTTTTGTCACTGATTGCTTTGTTCTGGTTCGAAACCCAAAATCATTCAACATACATACACCCACATGATTAAACTCAAAGATTCACAGCTTATTTGGATGGCTTTGCTGTTATCAAGCCCTTTGAGCTAGATGGCTCAGTTACAGAGTTTTTATTGTCATTCTAGACAAGATCTTCAATGTCTAATTCATGTAGAAGTGAGCTTCTTAGTTATCCACAAGTGAAACGATGCTTCTCCATTGGGACTATATATGACAGGCTTACTCTCTACTCGCACACAGACTCTGTGATGTATTTCCCGCAAATGTTTGCTTTTGAAAGTCATAATTTGCAAAACTCGATTCAACTTTTGTTGAAGTTTACTTAGGAATAAAATAACTATCTTGGGTGAAGAAATATAATTCTTCACACAATTAAATCCTACTTATATTATTACTTGCTACACTAATGTTTAGGTTTATATTCAAACATAAACATCTGCAATACTCGAGTGCTGTTGCAGGTACGAAGGGGTAGTTGTCACCTCTCAGTTAGTTCTTCATACCGTAAAAAAACACCTCTTTTTAAAACACCTGAAAAAAACTGGATTAAGGAGTAACCATAGTCCAAAAGAAATTACTGCTTAAGGTCCGTTACACAAGGAGCTTTTTTGAGTAATTTTAAACAAGCTAGCTTCGTACTTTTAAGATTTTATCGCTGGCGACAGGAACTCGCTAAACGTGTTCTGTTTCTTGGTCCGACCTTTCCCAACCTTCTTATTTCATTGTGAGGATTCAAAACCACTCCAAATGCTCCTTGTTTAAGAGGAGCACTTTATCACTGTCGCACGCTTTTACACCGTTCTCCAACCAACATAACTGGCATGTTAGGATTTAAAGAAACCAATTTTTCACCTACTATATACATATATATCGATTGGTTTATTACAATGCACAAGTCCGATAATCACGTCAAGGTAGCAGCTAAAATCGGGCCCAGTATTAAATTATACTTGTGAAGGTAACCATTTAGTTAACACTATAATAATAAAACGGATGCAAACAAATCGTCAACTGGTTACTTATTAGAATTGACTACCTGTCAGTACAATAGTAAAACTATCCAAAAAAAATGTAAATCCAAATTCGGAATTAATTAAAATGACTATGACAAAGCTTAAGGTTGGATAAATATTTTTCTAAACCCAAAGATTCAATTTATTCATTTAATTACAGTTTTATGTCGAAGAGTTGACAATCTGATGGAACCAATAAGATCCAGCCAGTATTGAGAAAATCTACATAAAATGAGTTTACCGTCCGATTATTTCAGTTATTCTCAATTAAATCAAAATTTTGTTGATTTATCCAGAATTATACAACTGTGATGATGAATAAACTGACCCCAATTAGTATACTTAACTAAACTGTTGTTGTCTATGGAGGGAAGTTACGGATTTTTTAAATGAAATTCTTCATATCCTATAAATGAATAATCTAAATCTCTATAAATGAATAATATATTTGTAATATCCCAATGAGTAAAGAAATTAGATTCTCTGACGTTTCGTGACTTAGTGTAAGCCACTTCTTCAGAGAATAAATAACCAAATTAAAATTAATCCAAATTTAAGTGGTACAACGGAACCGAAAGAATAATATTCTCATTGTGATATTACAAATATACTATTTATCTATAACAATCTACCCAATGCTGAATTTTTCCGAAATTATCAAGTCAAACCTTGGTAATGGTACCTACAATCTAAATCTGTATTTATTAATTTAAACACATAAATATTGGCACAAAAAGGTACCAAACATATGTGTGCCACACTTCTTCGTTCGACTCTCGTATGGGTTGGAATGCTACCCAGGTGCCCAAAACAAGGAAGGTGGTTTTCTTAGGGAGGCACACCCGGAGCCTTGCACTTTAAGATTTGGTCCACAAGGCAGTGGAACAACGTTAAGAGATGCGGTCCCATGGTAACTTTGTGACCAACAATTGTTCTCCAAGGATCCTGGAGCCCATGTGCACCATTAATTTGTAGTCAGGGTTTTCCAACTCCCCTAGGTGGACCCTCTGTGTACAGCAAGCCGGTTAAAGTTCCTGACATTCGTTTTTCGTCCTCTCAATCTCATAAATAATACCACTATTGAGAGAAGACAATGAGTAGAACTTCTCTAGCAGTGGTTGTATACACTTGGTAATATAAGAGCATTTTGAGAGGGAGAGCTGACTCTCCTCGCTCTCGGCCGTCACTTGGAGTCACTCTCTAACGTCTTTTATTTTATCCTATTTCAAAAAAGTTTTGCAACAGTGCACATATTCTTCTCAAGCATCATTGTATCTGTCAAATTCATTTATATACTTTTTTTATAAAAAAGCCGTAGTCAGTTGCCTGTTTTCTTAATCTCTCATTACTTGTCTCATCATATCTTGTTCAATTTTTAAACAAATTTTGTTCTCATTTACTTTTTCTTAGGAACATTTGTTACAACAGATATTTGTTTACAACAAGCAATAAATGAAGGTTATCTTGATGTACCAGATGTGATTAATCGATTAAGATGTCAACGTGCTGGGGCTGTACAAGTTGCTAAACAATATGCATTTATTCATCAAGCACTTGTATCACAATTATCAAAACAACAAATCAATAAGCATGATGATAACCAGCACAGTTGTGGTGGGGGTAATAATAATGCTACTGTACTGTAAATATTTATCCCTTCTCTAAATCTACTCATCTATTATACCTTCAGTTATTTACTCATTGTGATAAACCAAAGCAAGATTATTATTATTATTATTATTGTGCTGTTTTGTCGTTGTCTTTTTCTTGTATGACCTACTGATACCTCTCTCTTATTGGTGTGTGCCTTTTTTCGACTTTTTTTCTTCTTTAGAAAAATTCTTTCACTATTTTGTGTGTTTTGTCTTTGGACAGTTCAATTCCTGTTTTGTTGTTGTGTATTTATTTTGTGTGTGTGTACACATTTATACGTATGTTTGTTTTTTGTCACTGAGAGTTTTATTATTATCATTATTATAACAAATTGTTGTCTATTTCCCATTGAAATTGTACACAGATATAACACTGATTTTCTTTTGTAAAACTGACTATATTCTCTCCTTTTTTCTTAATCAACTGATAACACATATTTATATTCTTTTCTTTCAATTTCTTCTCTGTGTACAGTGCATCTATCCTAATTTTCTCTATCACACACACACACACACACATTTCATTTATACACAGAGACAAACTCACTCTGTTAATCACATTAGATCTTTTTCATAATTCGATTAAATCATTTGCATGTGTAAAATTCGATCATGATCACAATCGCATTAGTCATCATTCGATATAAGAATAAGAATAATAAGAAGTAGAAGAAGTAAAACCCCCCTTCTTCTTCTTCTTCACGAATTATCGACCCCCATCAACTACATTCAATATGTTTGATTGAATTTAATCATTGGAATTATTATTCAAAATAAAAATCAATAAATACACTTTGTAAATAATACTTTTTTGTGATTTATTGATTTTTCTTATATGAAATAAAATCAATAGAGATATATAACATATTATCGCGCATTCAACTATCACTATATAGATCTTATTATAATTATTATTATCTAAACTATTTCTCTATTTGCATTTCGATTAAACTATTCAGAAGAGTGCATTCTAGTTTATCTAAATTAAAACAAAGTCATAAAAATAACATGAAGTACATTTGATTTGATGACAAGTTTGTATTATATACACTATTCTATCGATCTATCTATCTATCCATCCACCTACTTACTCACTTACTTACTTACCTATCTATCTATCTATATCCATGATTTAGAAATTGTAAAATGTAGACATTGTTTATGTTTATTATTATAATGAATGTACTATGTATTTTATCATTACAGTGTTTTCTCATTCAGTATATTATTATATATTCTGTAAAAAAAACAACTTTTTTTTCTATTATTTTTCTATATACTACTATTATCATTTGGTTTGTATTGTATTAAACATATTAATTAATACTTCAAAAGTGAATTGTTCTTCTCTCTTATATTCTTCTTCTTCTGTTTAAGAAAAATGACATATACATACTGTACAGTTAATTTGATCGTTTACCGTCATATATATATATAATGTCCTAGTTGAATATCTCCCAATGAATATAAACAGTCTATAGATATGTATTATTGAAACTTCATATATTTTGTTAATATCCATAACGAATAATAATAATAATAATACTGTTTCCAAGACATGTAGATTCCTTAAATTTATGAGTTGGAAAAATGTCATATTTTACTAATATTTATCACTAGCTGACATCAATCACATGGTAACATTACATATACAGTTCATGCTAGTTTTTGTTTGTTTGTTTGTTTGGTTTATGTTTTCAATTCCATAACACAATTCATTGGGGATTCATTTCAGAGATCAAACACAATATTATTGATTAATATTAGTTGTATTTAAAATGTATTTTATTCATTCAATTATTGTATTGTACAAAATTAGATCATGTTTTTTTTTAAAAAAATGAGATAACCAGTTGTTATTGTTTATTCATGGCAATTGTTTCGTATTTTCATTTTGATTATTCAATAAATAAATAGTTGATTGTGTGGAATTTCAATGTTTATTCATTACATCTTTTTCATTTATGAAATATATTTATTAACAAAGTCATATTTTCAAGTTCAGCATGTGCATTTCGTCCTATTCGGGACGCGTTAATTTGAACTTATCTGCATCTCAGTATTGATGTTCACATTGAAATTGAACCTAGTGTATATTCTACTTCAAATATAAACCTGTTGTCCACTAAGGTATTTAGTTTATATAGCTACTAGTATACGCAATGGGTATGATGTTTAGTTGTATATGTTGGCGATTAGACATTGATGATAACAATGTAATTGATTAATTTTTATTGGTATATGCTCAATATTGAGGTAATTCTCTCAGGATCCATTTGTATTTAAAGTGATTTATTAATTGCAGTCTATAATTTTAACAAACAGAAAATAAGAAAAGGAGAATTCAGCGAAGAGAATTTTCTTTTCGACGAAATCATTTACTTAAGCTGTACATTCGTATATATAGTTAGATATGGAAATGTATGTCTATAGGAGGATAGAAAAACTTGCATCACCAAAATGGATTCGATGATAAATAACAAATGAGGTTACGTACTAATCACAAGGAATAAGGAAGAAAATCGTTTATGGGTCAGATAATAGTCCAATTGAGAGATATGAAGGAAAGCGACAAACACAAAGGTCATAATAGACTGAATAATATTGAGATTTAGATGGTGGGTGGAGGTAGTCAGCAGGAAACCATGGACCCGGGTTTCGTGCTACTTGGCACTCGTCAGCAAGGTGTACCTGTAATCTTGAGGGGACTGGTGCTCCCCGGCGGATTCGATCTCGTGTTACCCAGCTTCACAGAGACGTTACCACTGAGCTATCCGAGCCGCGACTGACCTCCTGTAGGACAGATGTAATCACAATTGATTGATCACTGGGTGGTGATCAATGTCATGCTTGTCTAGTCACATTCCAACATGATCGATAGCATTCGATCTGCACTAATAAGGACTAGACAAGCATGACATTGATCACCACCCAGTGATCAACCAATTGAGACTGAATAATAATCAAGAAAACTTGTATGAGGTAATAATAATAACTGATTGGAGTTTAAAATGAAAAAAATTCGATAATCAAATAAAAGTGCAGAAACATACCCATTAAGGGAACTAGGTCCAAGGAAGGATGAGGGGTTGGAGAAATCGTTTCTGCACGCATACATTTTCCATATAACTATATATACGAATGTACAGCTTAAGTAAATACTTTCGTCGAAAAGAAAACTTTCTTCGCTGAATTCTCCTTTTCTTATTCAATGACACTATGGGTTATTTTAATTAAACAGGAAACACTAACCCTTACAAGCTATTTCATTATAGTTTCAAACTATGTGATAATGTATAATCCATAACCCTACATAAGATGGTATGCAAGATTTCTAGCCACATCTCATGATGAAAATGATACTATTAGATTAGAGTAGATCATTGGATTTCATTTTTATGTGTAGTATATCATTTTCATATAAATGTGGAAATGAAATCTAGTCAAAATGTTCATAGAAACAACAATAAATCTAATTCATTCACTGATAATAACTCCTGACCAGGGTTAAAATCTATCGAACGCAAAATCTTATTAGAACTTCGACAATTCTTTCAGCAAATCATTATCATGACTATCAAAGTTGACATTTTGTCAAAATCAGCCTAATTGAGATTAGTTATCATTATTGACTGATATTGTTGTGGTCCTATATCTGACTACAGGTAGGATTGTATATTGATTGTCATCGAGTTATTGAAACATACATGTCATCCATCCTGGCTACCCTCGTATATAATTATCGACTTAACTCGCGTTAGTGAATAACGGAATTAAATAAGTTAAATACGAGAATGAATCCCGAATACGTGTATTTCATATAATCGTTGATCCAAACAAACAACCGAAGAAATGAAGTGAATAAAACAGATCGAAGCAAAATGACGCGCGGTGGAGAAGGTATATAAGTCAACTCAATTTAACCAAGAGTGACTCAATCTTTATAGTCAGACAAAAATGAGTTACAGACATATAATGCGTAGGATAAGAGATACACAAACATACGCTTGCATAAAAACAGTCAAGGTTGACAAGCGAATAAGTGACAGAGTAAAAATATGGCTTGAGAAGAATGTATAGATTGATCTGTTCAGAGTCTAGAATAACCTATCTAGACCTGACATAGTACCAGACCCTACAATATCACCTGGAGGATTGTTAAGATCAAGAGAATACTGAATGACATTTGTGATGCTATAGTATGAGATTGCAATAGTGAACTTCTTTGATCTCATTACAAGATCTAAGATATGATCCAATTTTATGTGTTAGTTAAAATCAATTAACTAACATGAGATTTATCTGAGTATATTTTGGACAAAAATAAAGATTGTACATATTCATATTGGTACAAAGATATATGGTATGATTGCATTTTGCATTTTTCCACTATTTATTATAATGGACTAAGCATAGATATTGATTTGTCTCACCAATCTGTTATTTCATGAATAGAAAGAAATATGATATAACTATTCTTTTTACCTTTTACAAGTAACAATAGTTACATTGATAATCAATTAGGATGAGATTATAATTTATGGACAACCTTTGAGCAATGCTAAAGTAACATTGAAAATGTCCACCTAATAACAAAGATTAAATGAGGGTTATAAATCAGAGTGAGGAATTAGAATGATAATTTCCAGTTGATGGTTAGAGTTAGGAATTCAATTTAGAGTTTCCATCACGAACTGACATCAGCTATAATGCCAAAACTCTATTTAACCAAATGAATGAGTGAATTTCGCACTAAAATCGGAGACCTGTTATCTTATGCCTGATTAGTTCGCCCATGAATGATAGACTCATCGAATTATTCTTCTCTGTATTGTTTTATAGGTTTTTTTTCTCTTGATTACATATCCAATAATTCTACATTCGGTTAAATTAGAAATGAAAACAACTTTACAAGATTTTATTCGAACAATTTTTCCAGAATTAATATTGATAAAGTTGAGTCCTCTATGATAGACAGTATAACTATGATACTTTCATTGACACCCTAAACGACATTATTATTACAATCGCTCCCATAAAGTACAAGTCTTTATTACCCCCAAATACCCTGGTATGGTCGAGGGTGAGGAGAATCCTCTTTCCCCCTTAAAATGCTCTTATATGGTCATGAGTATGCAGCCACTGCCAGGGAAGTCCTACTCACTGCCTTCTCGTGGCGAGGGTGTTGTTTACGAAATCGATAGGACTAAAAGCGAATGTATGTTTGTTTAACCGGGCCGTTGGACATGGAGGGTCCACCTAGGGGAGTTGGAAAACTCTGATTCCAAACTAATGATGCACATGGGCTCCACCATCCTGAGGGAACAAATGACGTATGAACCAATTGTTGGTCACAAGGCCACCGTGAGACTGCATCTCCTTACGTTGCTCCATTGCCTTGTGGATCAGATCTTTAAGTAGAAGGCTCCGAGTGTGGCTCACTACGAAAACCACCTTCTTCGTTTTGGGCACCAGGGCAGTATCCTAGTCCGCAAACAAATCAACTGACTTTATGTAGCGCATATGTATTTGATGTCCCTTGGTACCAATATATATTCAAATAAATAAAACAAGTCTTTATCACTATTACCAAAATAACAAGAGAAATAATAACGAAAGTGTTAGGTCCCGATAAACATAATGAATGGTAACTTTGGAATCCTTTTATGGACCAATACTAAACGTATATTTTTATCGTCTAATTATTAAATAACTAAACTATTCATACTCATATTCCTCTTATTATAAACTTTATTTTGACCTATGAACTATTATTATACGATTTACCATTCTTGAATTATGCCCTGCCTCCCACATTCACAGCCACATTTTGCCGAATTTTGTACAAATGTTATTTTCTATTTTATGCTACGTTGTGGTCTGTTTGATTAGTATATAAACTCAGTATGTTTGAAATATAATGATTTGTATTACAGAGACTGAGGCTGGTGTTCTGGACTTAACTAGCTGGGCTAGGCGGAAAGCAGGACTGATCAGGGCTCTAGGCTGCTCGCACGTGTTTTACGCGTCCTCGGTCCGATCGATAATTCGCTGCTTTTGATTGGAGGCTTTGGGCTATAACAGAAAGTGTTCAGTCAATTATCCCTATGTTTTTTTTCTCATTTTGATCCAAGTAGCTTTAGCTGTTGATGTTAGTGTGTATTAGGCTAGTTCATTTTGGTTTATTACTTAACAAGCAATGTTTAAGTCATAGATACTGTTAGTCTCAATAAAATCACGTTACACGCGTCTGAATTTTAGTTGAATTGAATGAGTCATTCATCATACATGCCGTGAGCAGAATACAAATTAAGCAGTCTTTTCAAGGTAATTGTAATGATGACTAATTATCATACGTTTGTAAATTGTATGTCAGGTTAGACACTATGATTAATTAGCTATTTTTATTGACATGCCTTCCTAGTTGTAATTCTAAACTTGGTTGTATGATTAATCCCAATAAGGGTGCTACTACGAACCAGGATCCACTAGACGTCACTTTCACCTTAGAATGCGACAAATTCACTGTAAGTATCCACTTCTTCAGCCATAGATTTTAAGACCCAGATTTAAGACCCTTGATCTGTCTACTCCAGATTGAGACCTTGACGCAATAGGTTGGCCGGTTTAACCTTGAGGCTAGTACGCGTGAGTTCGAGGTGGGGTAGAGAGAAAACTAATCTAGCACCTGATCGGCTGGCAGGCACGCGAACGAGAGAAGACAAGACAGTTGGAACACTATTGGATGTATTGCGATATCCTGATTTCCTGTGAAATCTCTGAATTCAGATAAATAGGTGATTTACCTGACCACAACATACAATGATTTGGAAAAATACAATTATGTCCAAAACTGGGAATTAGGGTAGAAAATAAGGTGCCAAAATATTATGTTTACATTATAATAATCAGAATGAGTTTTGTGGAGATAATAGCTTCGGAACAAAAAGGGGTATGGCAGTGAGTGATACATCGAACGAAAGCTCATGTTCTGTAGAATAAAATAGGGACATAAATAAATGTTAATGTTTTACAAGCTTTGAATAAAATGAAATAACGTCCCGAAAAATAGCTTTCGTAGTTTGTCAGGGTTTCTTGTTTCCCTGTTCACATCAACTGTAATGATCCTTACAATATCAATTGGTCTAAAGGTAACATGCTCATGAGCTTGATCCTTAGCTGGATCATTTTTATCTGTAGGCTGCTGACAAACTTTATAATATGACAAAACAACTATCCAATGCTCCACAGATCCTCAGCTTACAATTTTACATATTAAGAACTAAATTCAGTTTACAGATCACAGTTGAAACATTTGAGGAGAGCAGTTATAAATGATCCCTATTTTTAATAACTGATTTCCTGCGTTAAACTGATCTCCCCATTTAGTAAGTAATATAGTGCATTATTTTTGGCCTCCAGTTTTTATTTGATCCTGCAAGGACTATAACACTATATTCCTAGCAAGTATATCAATGGGTTGTCAGCGCATATGTGTTGCACAGGATCATACATCTCACAATCTATAGAAATAAGCGACAATTCATAAATGCCAAATTTTTGGAATTCTTCTTGGTGAATCTCCTCAAATTCTAGTAGTATACAATGACAGGTAAAATTAAATAATTCAATGAGAATAACGATTGGTCACTGTTGGAATCTATTTCTGGAGTAATACTATGTGTATATGTGTATCGTATCATTGTTAAGTAACTAAACTATTCATATTCATGTTTCTCTTATTATAAGCTTTATTTTGACCTATGAAGTATTATTATACGATATACCATTCATGAGTTATACCCAGTCTATCAATTACTATCTCCCACATTCACAGCCACATTTTGCCAAATTTTGTACAAATGTTATTTTCTATTTTATGGTACGATGTGGTCTGTTTGATTGGTATATAAACTCAGTATGTTCGAAATATAGAATTCATATCTCAGAGGCTAAGATTGGTGTTTCTGGAATTAACAGGCAGGGCTAGATAGGAAGAAGGACCGATAAGGACTCTAGACTGTTCGTACAGGTTTTATGCATCATTGATTCTGTCGATAAATCACTGTTCCCTAATTGGTGTTATCATTACCTCATAATTTAATAGGGCACAAAGTCATAAGTTATAACAAATGGTAAAACAGTTATTTCAATGGTTAAGATCATGAGTTATTTGTAAATAAATCCTCTTATTTTGTCTAAATTTGTCTTGTAAAAGTTGAGCGACTTGAATATTCTATATGAGAACCCGTTGTAACATTGTTACTGTGCTCTAATAATAATTAACCATTCATGATAGAATGAAATAATTGTTTACTTACTCACTTGTTACCATATCAATCATTTGGTATAAGTTTATTTTCAAATACATTAAGACAATTATTATGGGTTATATTTTACATGAAAACAAATTTTATCATACATTTACTGATAGATATTAATCCTAAATTTGAACTTGGCGGTAATATAAATGAATCCGGTAACGTTACACGCTACATTCACTCTCAATTATGACATCATTTACTAACAAAAAAAATTAGGACAATCTAATAATAGTAATAATAATAATACATCCATACTAGATGAGCGATATTTCAAGCTTTAAGCGTTATTTGACCGCCATATTTTCTTTAATCAGTAAGTTGTAATCCTCATGACCTTAGAATCACATTGTTAAATGAATATGAAGTGTATGTAACAATTAATCTCATAAATTGAGATAACCATTTTAACTTCTATCTGACACAATCAGTTTGTGTAGTCTTATGAAATAAATTTGGGTCAGTCATACGACTTTATTAACCGACGAAATATAAATTGTAATTATAATGTATACTATTTTTGACAAATTAAAGAGATCAGTTTAGAGGGAGAGGTTATAGATGTTGTAGAATATTTCAAGTTTAAATTAGGAACTGACCTTAGCTTAATCGCCATTATAGAACTTGAAAACTTTGGACAGCTACTTTGTCCAAGTATGAGAAGCTATTAACCAGTGTAGTCTAATCACGTTGCTTGTGTGAAATTTATCCACCACAGATTATGGAAAGCGATTGCTCATTATCGGGAATTAATTAGACACGTACACTATCGAGTCCAGGCTTAGTAGTCAAGAGGCTAAGCGTTTGCGTATTAGACTTGTAGTGACCCACTTTTATCAAGAGAATGAGATTGGTTTAATGGAAACAATTATTATTATAACCAATTGTACCAGTAATTGTTTTACTGTACTTGTTTGTTTAACAGTACTAAAGACATCGATTATTCTTCCATTCTTTCTTTCGTTGATTGTGGTCTTGCACAAATTCGGTTACGCTCAGTAGCCACACTTGTACTCCTTTGGCACGATCTCGGTACTATTTCGATACCACGAGTTCGCCAATAAATACATCTCGACTACAGCCATCAACTGCCTTCTGATATTTGGCCTACGGAGGATCTTATCGGTTAACTGGCATGTAGTTTTCCTGTAGTGGTGATCATAGTCAACCTCGACTCGACGCCACACTACAGACTGAAGACTCGATAATGAGTGGCAAAATCCTTGTTACACATCGCTGGGACGAAACAGCTGTTTCTTGCTTCTTAATTATCATCAGTGGTCGGGCTAAAATCAGTTTATATCATAAACTATTAAAATTGAGGAGTCCATATCACCGATTGACTTTAATTGAACGACGACAACTTGCCACCACTGCTCTTTGTTTATCTGATTAAGTTAATTCTCTAGGTTAATTGCCTTCAACTTAAACACAATCTTCAAAGAACTTTCATCCTAATTTTAATAACTAACATATGAAAAACCACATCAGAATCCTACAATTATTTCCAAACACTTGTTCTAAATTATTAAACAATGAAATCATTTATTTTCTTATATGGTAAAACTCATCATCAATTAACATTAACTATATTTAATTTTCCCATCAACTATTACAGACAAATCGTTGATTTAAACAGATTACAATGTTCCGAGATTCGAACTCAGGACCTATCAGTCTCGCGCGCGAATCTCGCGAGGTGGGATTGTGGATACGCACTTCTGAGGAGTTCCATAATAGGACAAAATGGCCGTCCAGTGCTTCCAGGTTTTCCATAGTGGTCTAGATTCAATTGATTCATGATCTCAACCATTGAAATTACTATAATATCCACAAAAACCCTTCTGATAAAACAGATTATTAAATAAAATTACTCATTATATGTTTATTAGAAAATGAAGTCTAAGAGAGTACAGTATATAAACCCATATAGCTAAAGATTTTAAAGAATAACAAACTAGATACAGATCAAAGAATAATAGATTGATAGATACATTTCACATTGAATGGATTCATATAGATACTAGTTAGTTACATAATTTCGAATGAATATAAACTAATGATCTAATTATTAGTAATAATAAGTTTAGCATCTAAAAAGAAAGAAAGAGAATAGCAACAGTTGTATAAATCTTTTCTTTCGATTCATCATTTCTCTTCATTTGATTGATTTCTACCACATTGATCAAATTACTGAATCTTAATTAATTTAATGAGAATAAATAAATTAGGATACTGAACGCTGTTGAAATGAATATTGATTTGACTTGAACACTGTTAGTTAGAACACTTTGATTACATGCATCATCTGTACAAATACAATAACGCATTTTCACTTTATCTGTACCCACTCTGTCTATACATTGAGGGAATTCCGGTGAGATTGCACTACAATCACGATAGATTCGTACAGTTGGCCTATTCGTAACATTATGACTATACATATATGGTGCCTCCTGTTTAAATATTAAACAAAATAAAAGTAAGGTGAATGGTGTAGATTATATACTACTTATATGAACAAGAACAGTGTATTCTCGTCTTGTAAATAATAAATAACATGAAACTGAAATAATAACTAACATCTGTTAAACAAAAGTCGACTGTTCTAATTCAGTTAGCTCATTGAAAATTTTCTTTGATGCTTGGAAGTGATGGATTTTGAGTTCTTGATTAACTGGTAACTTATAAATAATATGTAATTATTAATCATTACTGTAGAATCTGGCATAAATATGCTTTAATTCAAGTTTCAACACTTAAAAAAAAGAAAGAATATGATAAGCGCTGATAATGCCAATTAACCATTAAGAATATAATTGGAAAAGAAAGAACAAAATGCATGAAATAGCATTATTAAACTTAAGCTGTTTAAGAGATGGTAATGAATGAATAACATTTAATATCATTAACTGCATATTCTGTCTGTTTCAGGCTTTCCAAGTTCATAAAATAAGTTATCATGTTTGAGTATTCAGTACAGAAAAAGATCGAATAAACGGATAGAATAAGGAGCGCTTAATTAGAATTGAGAAAATAACTTTCGGGTTTTCATGAAACACTAAAAAACAAAAGATTTGATCTTCTATCATCTAAAATTAGTATCTGAAATATCATTCTATAACACTCAAGATCCTAACATTAAATTCCTAACGTCAAATCTTTAATGCTAAACTCTTAATCCCTTAGTAATAACACTAAATGGATCCGCTGACTAGACACTATCAACAAAAACCTACTGTGAGAGAGAACAAGCCAGATCCCAGTGGAGGAAGAAGCTCTGGAAGTGGATAGGACACTGTGGTGTTTGAATGAACTGATTATTCCTTTTTACTTGTTGAATGCTTGATTTCGAATTCCAAATACAGAACATTCGTTCGTACTTATCTAGTACTTCTTGATCCGGTTACGTTATTTCTGGGATTCTTAGTTCATACTATAATTCAAATACTCCTAATCATCATAGACACACACTGAGGAAAGCACCCAACTACGTCACAAGGTAAGCCCTCACATGGAATCCTCAAAGCCAAACGAAAAGAGGAAGACCAAAGAATACATTACGCCGAGAAATGGAGACAGACATGAAAAGAATGAGCAAAAATTGGTTAGAACTAGAAAGGAAGAACCAAGACAGAGTGGGTTGGAGAATGCTGGTCAGCAGACTATGCTCCATTGGGAGTAACAGGCATAAGTTAGTAAGTATATAATAACACTAAATATCTAACCTTAAGTTTTTAATCCTATCCCTAACCAGGAGCAATGTAAGGACTCCTAAAAATTTATTTTAATACTACAGAGGTTTGAAAAGATGTACAATCCGTATTCATATGGACGAATTTATATTTCATTTTTTTATTTTATTAGTAGAGTAATTTGTAGAACACTTTAATAGATTAATTGTAATATTATTGTCCTTTTTTTCATAAACCATTTATTTACCAAAGCCATTCTCGACTTGACTAAAATTCGTCATGGTTGTTTTAAGTTCATTCTTGTACTACATATACTCTTACTATATAATATTTGTCTAAGTTATTAAAATTCCCATATTCAAGTATCGGACAATCGATAGATAGATATATTCTGATATTTCATAAAGAAAAGAACTAACACTGGCTATTAGATATTTTCTCAAGCAATCATAAATCTGCTAAGTTCACTTTCACTTTCACTATCAGCAATCAGTTAATAATGACTGAAATCTCTTCGTATTGTTTGTTTGTGTTCATGATTAGATAAAGTTCCAATTAATTCATCTGTTAATGACTAATTGATTATTCGTGGAAATAGTTCATTGTAATCATTGTATTGAGTTGATGTTCAAAAACTGGTTGAATTTCATTGAATATAAAAAAGGATTTTAAATGATAATCTTCATTATTCTATATAATAATTTGATCTGTTTCATTAATGATGGAGAAGATTACATTGATAACATGTGTATTGGAAACACCATTCAATCATGCGTAAATGATTGACTTATCAATATTGAGATTAAGTAAAGAGTTTTATACAAAAAAAGGTGATTGATTCAATGAGGTTTTGAGTGGAGACTAAGTGTGATAGCTGGAATATATATATATATATATGTTACTCAGCCCCACTTCTGAATGCTTAGTTGAATTATGCTGTTGTAAGTGGGTAAAATGCCAACAATGAACAGATGAAGAAATACTACCAGAATGGTTGGAATGATTTGCGGAAGTATGAGCTCTCTGAAGGAGATTCCAAAGACATCAGATAATCGAAAGACAAATGAACTAAGTTATTTGATATACATATATATTGGTAAATATTCACTTACTCTTACATTCATATGAGACTCTTTTACTCTAGGTTGGCCTAATTACGTGTACCTAACAATCGGGAAAAAGCACTTCACGATCAAAAGCTCAAGCTAATCCCTCCTACTTACATCATAGTATAAGACATTATAATTGTTGGACAATTGTAAGTCAATTATTCAGTATTTTTATCCAAGTTAGCAAATAAACTTCATGTCTCAACTACGACAAATACAATAACTATTCATTCAGTCATCTTGTCTTTAGTAACTCAACTTTAAGTACAAGCTAATAGAATATCAAGTAATTTCAACTAGTTCAGGGCGTTACAAACTTAACCGATAAAAAGTTGATCATTATAATAAACTATATAATAAATACCATACAACTGATCAGTTTAAAGAAAGAATAATATTTAATAGTTTCTCATGATCAGTAACCCTAACCCAAATAAAATGATGCAAATTATTTATAGGTCACTTCAGTTGACATCATTAACTAGGAAGACAATACTTTGTTTAATAGCTTTGAACTAATTGTTAGGGAAGACACAATTATAAAGTGTATTTAATGACTTTTTATCTCATTTTGGAATTATACCAAATAAATCTGGGCCATTGATATTCAATATTTTCCTCATAAGTTAATCATGCAAAAAATTAAGATTAATTAATGTTATATAGAGAAAATCTGTTACATGATATTGTAGATAAATAAATATTACAAGCCAGGAAGTAATAGATAGCTGTTTCGTCCTAGCATAGGGTTGATCAACAATACGCATCCACTACATCACCAGCAGCCATTAAACCAAGGAACTCCGTTCTCGCGCATGAATGCTTAACCCCTAGTTCAATTAACCGGCATCCAATGATATACAGGTTTAACTTCAATCAGTTCATGATATTGAGCAACCGTCTTCGATTGTCCTTAATGGACAACTGTTTCACAGTCAACATTGGCCACGGCTTCTCATTAGATCTCCAGGAACTGTATCTTAAAGCTAGTCATTAGTGAGCACACGATTATAATTACTATAGGGGATCTGTGGAAACGTTAGTTTGTGAAGTAGTGGATGTGCACTGTTGAAGAGTTCTCTATGAGGACGAAACGACTGTCTGATGCTTTCATGCTTTCTATTGTAATCTAGCAAAGATCAGTTCATGATATAAACTATGAAAATTCAACAATTTCCATAAACCTCTTATAGTAAAGTGCATACAGTTCACTTATCCATAACAAAATTATAATCGAACAATGGTGTCGAATTAAAAATATGTTGTGTTCTACGGTTCAAATTGGTTAACGACTCACACTGTCTAAACGCTTACCTTGATAATTATACAGAGTAAAAGACTGAGAGTGCATAATAGGATCATTATCACAAATCTAATAATAATCTAAATAACTCATTTGTATGTGTACATATATCTACACTGACCTAGATACGGACAAGCTTGGTGATGTTTATCTGATAATTAACTTATTTCCAATCGAGAAATCTTAGTTGCATTTCTCACTTATCAAGTGGTTTTACAATAGTATATGACCTACCCAGTCTTCCCTGATATATATTTGTATTTATGATTATTGATTGATCATTAAATAGTAACCAATTTCATGTTTGTTTATTCCCTTAGTGTTGATCGAATTCTATCGATCAGGTTGTAACATGGCAATTATTCTAAATGACTCGACACCACATGCACTAAGATATTAGGTGATGGAGGTACTCGGCAGCAAGCTTCACATAACCTTGTCTTCATGCTAGTTGACAGTCGTCAACAACAGATTTCTACAATCTTGAGAGGACTAATGCTCCGAATAATATTTGAACCCATATCACCTGGTTTCATAATCGAAAACGCCACTACTGAACTAATGTCAAAATGTCATTTCATTACAGATTTTCAAATGAGAGAAATAATATTATTAATATTTAGGAATGTATAACATCAATTAATAGTTCGATAGCTCAGTAAAACCTAAAACACTTGTGTTACATTTAATTTGTAAGCTTATGAGCGGTCGTTATTGTTAAGGAAAAATTAAGTTTAGGTTGAAATAGCTCCATGGTGTTTATAACAGCTATTACCAATTCCTATTGATCGTTAATAATCATGTACTTACCAGCGACAAAGTTTAAAATAAATTTACCGTAATTCCGTTAGAATATTTTTAACTACTAAATAAAATTGACTAAATTAGATGGGTGGTAAACAATAACATAACAGTATTATTAAATGTACAACATGATTGAAGTTAGAAAATATACATCCATTGGATTTCAACTTAATAATTAAATAATATCATACTCACAGGGAGACCTATACGCTTTAAATTTGATCCTTTGTAGAAATCATTAGTCTACGTTTATGTAGTAGAACGAAATAAAAGTGTGTTGTTCTCTTTAGTTTTTAAAGACTCAAACATTCTCAATTTATGTAAATTGTCATAACCCACATAACTAATGAAAGATATATTAATCAAATGGATTTGAATGACGGAATCAAAATCAATTCGGAATTTTAGAAAATCCGTCATTAGAAGCTGTCAGTAATAGAGTTAAACAGTCAGATATCATTATCATAGAATGTGAAACTGATGTTAAGACGCTCAAGAATCCACAGGATTGAAAAAATATAGAGTAACACTGAAAATCAAAATCT